ACTTAACTGACTGAGCCACCCAGGCATCCCAGTTATCTGCAAACTTCTAATTACATTTTATTAAAAATGTTTGTATACTTTGAAGGTTAACTTTTGAGACCATATTTGCTTTTTATTTTATATGAGCCCAGGAGATGGCATTTTCTTTCAATATTGTTGTAAATATCTTCATTGTAAACAAAGTTGAACTCTTGGAGGGGTCCCTAAATGGGTTCTCAGGGAAAAATGTTTTCTAGAGTTTTGTTAAATATGACTTTAGAGGGAAAGGTTTGATTCTGTTTTAGGCCTAATTTTGGCACTTTTAAACATTAAATAGCTCTAATATTCTAAGTTGAATATATGTCCACTGCTCAAAGTTATTTGTTCACTGCAAAGTGCTGTTTTTTTTTTTTTTTTTTAAGATTTTATTTATTTATTTGACAGAGAGAGATCACAAGATCACAAGGCAGAGAGGCAGGCAGAGAGAAAGGAGAAAGGAGGCTCCCTGCTGAGCAGAGAGCCCGATGCGGGGCTCGATCCCAGGACCCTGGTATCAGGACCTGAGCCGAAGGCAGAGGCTTAACCCACTGAGCCACCCAGGTGCCCCGTAAAGTGCTGTTTTGTTTTTTTCCTTCATTGTGAATTCTGACATCACTAAAATCCTCTGAGAAACATGTTTGTTTTTCATGGGTGTTTTTTTGTGATTATAGAGCTCTCTGTAGATATAGGGGAAAGTCAAGAAATCTTCCCAGCATGCATTCTCTTGCACTTATCTGCACTGAATGTCATCATCTGTACTGTTGCCCAGTTGAGTTTCCTGGAATGCTTCACAATTCAGGCTTAGTATCTGTGTGATATGTCTTGGCTCATTAGGGTTCTGAATATTGTCAATCTGAATGGAATATTTTTTGATAGATTCTCCTGTTACAGCTTTTCTGAAACAAAAGTAGAGATTTTGCTGTTTAAAAAACAAAAAACTAAGATCTGATATTAATGTTTTTTTTTTTTTTTTTTTTTAAGATTTTATTTATTCCTTTGACAAGCGATCACAAGTAAGCAGAGAGGCAGGCAGAGAGAGAGGAGGAAGCAGGATCCCCAGAGAGCAGAGAGCCCGATGTAGGGATCATGACCTGAGCCGAAGGCAGAGGCTTTAACCCACTGAGCCACCCAGGCGCCCCTTAATGTTGGTTTCTTAAGGGGTAGTGTTTATTCAATCAGTGAGTGAATCCCTACTGTGTGTTTAGTGAATACATGTAGTGAATACTTAAAGTTCTGTTTAGACACAACAACTGCTCTTACTACAGGCTTACATCCTCTAATATATAGGGAAATTTTAGAAAATTCTCTTAACTCCGGTTAAGTGCTGTAAATTTGCAGTATAGCATTCAGTGAGATTAATAAGAGACCTTATTTGGGGGGGAGGCAGAGCCCAATTTGAGACTTGAATAAGAGTTTGATTTTGAAAATGCGAAGGAGCATAGAGCCAAAAAGTCCAAAGAGGTTTTTAATAGTTAATAAAAGTACACAATTATTTGTAGATATCTTCTCAAACTTTTCATCTTAAAAGTTAGTTTTATAGAGGATGATTTGGTAACCTTTATATTTTACATGAATGGGACTTGGGTTTTTTGTTTTGCTCTCTTAAGTTTCTCTAAGTGATGGTGTAACTTGATTTTTCTCTACAGGGCTAAGTTTAATTCCTGAAGATTGTGGCTTGCATTAAGGATAGGTACAAGCTAAGACTGTAAGATGAGGTAGGGGACAAAACTGTCAGGCTTTTGTTGTTGGAAATGTCAAAAATATCTTGCCAAGAGGTCAAATTATTATTGCTGGGTTTCTTTCATTAAGGAAAAGAGGACTAATGATGTTCTTTACCACTAACGCTCTACTGGTCAGTAATTCATAGTTAAGCCCAATTAATAGTTCATCTTTAAAACTGGTTTTTATTGGAAGGACTATTAAAAAATGTTTTTCCCTTCCAAATTAAAAGTATTACTTTGTAGCAGTAAACTGTGCTGATTCTGGACTTTAAGCATACTAGTATTTCAATTGAAGAAGCTAAGAAATTTATAGTAACTTACTAGAGAAATTTAATACCTTGCCTTAGGAACTATGGTTGAGCCAATTGGGAATATGAATTCTTTTTTTTTTTTTTTTTAAGATTTTATTTATTTGACAGACGGAGATCACAGGTAGGCCAGAGAGGCAGGCAGAGAGAGAGGAGGGGAAGCAGGCTCCCTGCTGAGCAGAGAGCCCTATGTGGGGCTTGATCCCAGGGTCCCGGGATCATGACCTGAGCCGAAGGCAGAGGCTTTAACTCACTGAACCACGCAGGCGCCCTGGGAATATGAATTCTTTTGAATTAATAATATAACTTTGCTAATCCCAATTTGTTATTTAGTAGAAATGTTTGATCTTGCCTATTTTTGCATAATTAAAAAAAATTCATGGGACACCTTGGTGGCTCAGTTGGTTGAGAGTCTGTATTCAACTCAGATCATGATCCTGAGGTCCTGGGATTGAGTCCCACATCGGGCTCCTTGCCCAGTAGGGAGCCTGCTTCTCCCGCTGCCTGCCTCTCCCCCTGCTTATGCGAGTGCGTGCTCTCTCTCTGGCAAGTAAATAAAATCTTAAAAAAAAACAACCCGACTTATTTTCAAGTACAAATGATGTACATTCATTAGTTTCATGTGTATAACAGTTTCAGCAACTCTATATATGTTATGCTCACAGAATTTTAGCTACCAGTCACTATACTGAGCTGTTAAAATACCACTGACTCTATTTCCCAATGTTGTGCCTTACCCCATAACTGGAAGCTGGAACCTTTCTGTTGCCTTCACCTGTTTCACCATCCCCACCCACCCTCTGCCCCACAACCACTTTTGTTCTCTGTATTTTTGGGTCTGTTTTGGTGTTTTTGTTTGCACATTAATTTTTTTTTAAAGATTGAATTTATTTAGAATGAAAGCGAGAGCACAAGCCGGGGAAGGGGCAGAAGAGGGAGAGATTCTTAAAAAAAAACTGCACAGAGCAAGGGCCCCCATATGGGACTTTATCCCACAGCCCTGAGACCATGACCTGAGCTGAAACCAAGAGTTGGACAACCAACCGAGACACCTAGGTGCCCCCGCTCATTTGTTTAGATTCCACATATATGGTATTAGTCTTTTTTCTGCTTAGCTTAATACCCTCCAGGTCCATCCATGTTATTGGAGATGAAAAGATCTCATTTTTCTATGGCTGATTACTCCATTGTGTCTATGTATTTATCATACACACACACACACACATATACATACACACCAGATCTCATCTGTTCATTTTGCCTCCATATCTTGGCTATTGCTGTGAACATGGGGTGCATACATCTTTTGGAATTAGTGTTAGATTTGTTGGTTAAATATCTAGTAGTGCAGTTACTGGGTTATATGGTATTTTGATTTTTAGTTTTTTGAGGAACCTCCATACTGTTTTCCAGTGGTTGCACCAATTCACACTCCACCAACAGTGCAGGTTTCCTTTTTTCCCACATCCTTGCCAACACTTATTTTTCTTGTCTGATACTAGCCATTCTGACAAACCTAAGGTGGTGTCTCATGGTTTTGATGTGCATTTCCCTGATGATCAGTGATGAGCATTGTGTCGTATCTGTTGGTCATCTGTATGTCTTTGGAAAACTATTTATTCAGGCCTTCTGCCCATTTTTGGGTGTTGGGTTGTACAGGTTCCTTATATATTTTGGATATTAACCCCTTATCAGGTATCATTTACAAATAACCACTCATTGCCTTTTCATTTGCTGGGCAGAAACTTTCAATTTTGGTGTAGTTCCAATCTACTTTTGCTTGTTTCCCTTGCTTAAGGAAACATATCTAGAAAAATGTTGCCAAGACCAATGTCCCAGAGATTATTTTCTATGTTTTCTTTATGGAATTTTCAGGTTTTACATTTTGGACTTTAATCCACTTTGAGTTCATTTTTGTATATGGTATAAAGAAATTGGTCCAGTTTGTCTTTAACATAGAGCTGTTCATTTCCCCCAGCATCATTAAAGTGATTATCTTTTCCTCATTGTATATTCTTGTCTTTGTCAGAGATCGCCCATGTATGTGAGTTTATTTCTGGGCTATCCTGTTCATTGATCTATGTTTTTGTACCAGTACCATACTGTTTTGACTATTGCAACTTTGTAGTATAGTTTGAAATCTGGGATTGTGGTACCTCCTACTTTGTTGTTCTTTATCAAGACTTGCTTTGGCTATTCAGGGTCTTTTAGGCATATTCCAGTTCTATGAAAAATACTTCCTGGTATTTTGATAAGAAATTACTGTGAATTTATAGATTGCTTTAGGTAGTATAGACATTTTGACAATGTTCTTCCAATCCAGACTATGGTGTATTTTTCAACCTGTTTATGTTGTCTTCAGTTTCTTCCATCAGTGTTGAATAGTTTTCAGAGTACAGGTCTTTCACCTTCTTGATTTCTTCCTAGGTATTTTATTTTGGTAAATGTAGTTGTTAATTTCTTCCTGCTACTGTTGAACGTATAGAAATGCAAGATTGATTTGTATACTGCAACTTGACTGACTCTTCATTTATTCTAACAGTTTGTTGGTGGTCTTTAGGGTTTTCTGTATAAAGTATCTTGTCATCTGTGAACAGTGACAGTTTTACCTTTTCTTTTTTTTAACCAACGTAGATGCCTTTTCCTTTTTGTCTGCTGTGGCTAGGATTTCCAGTTCTTGTGCATAGTTTAGATTTTAGCACTTAAATTGTAAGAAGTTGCTCAGGTTATCATTGAGTAGACTTCAACAGAACACTGAATTTTACTTTTGCATAGACGCAAACTTAAGTAACTTTAATTTGAAATATTTACTACAAATTAGAATTGTTTAGCGTGATTTTAGTCCCAAAGTAAGCTCTTAAAAATGTCTATATTTTAGGAATTGTATTACTTAGAAATGTATGTACAAGTGTTTTGTTACATGGAGGCTTAAAATAGTTTTTTCTCTTGACAGGAAATGCACAATTTTGAGGATGAGTTAACATGTCCCATTTGTTATAGTATTTTTGAAGATCCTCGTGTACTACCGTGCTCTCATACATTTTGTAGAAATTGCTTGGAAAACGTTCTTCAGGCATCTGGGAACTTTTATATATGGAGACCTTTACGAATTCCACTCAAGTGCCCCAATTGCAGAAGTATTATTGAAATTGCTCCAACTGGTATTGAATCTTTACCTGTTAATTTTGCATTAAGGGCTATTATTGAAAAGTATCAGCAAGAAGACCATCCAGATATTGTCACCTGTCCTGAACATTACAGACAACCATTAAATGTTTACTGTCTCCTAGATAAAAAACTAGTTTGTGGTCATTGCCTTACCATAGGTCAACATCATGGTCATCCCATTGATGATCTTCAAAGTGCTTATCTGAAAGAAAAGGACACGCCTCAAAAACTACTTGAACAGTTAACCGACACACACTGGACAGATCTTACTCATCTTATCGAAAAGCTGGAAGAACAGAAATCTCATTCAGAAAAAATGGTCCAAAGTGATAAGGAAGTTGTTCTCCAGTATTTTAAGGAGCTTAGTGATATATTGGAACAGAAAAAAAAAATTTTCCTAGCTGCTCTCTGTGATGTTAGCAACCTGATTAATCAAGAATATACTCCACAAATTGAAAGAATGAAAGAAATAAGAGAGCAGCAACTTGAATTGATGACAATGACAACATCTTTACAGGAGGAGTCTCCACTTAAATTTCTTGAAAAAGTTGATGATATCCGCCAACATGTGCAGATTTTGAAACAAAGACCACTTCCTGAGGTCCAACCTGTTGAAATTTATCCTCGAGTAAGCCAAATATTGAAAGAAGATTGGAGCAGAACAGAAATTGGACAAATTAAGAAACTTCTCATTCCTGAAATGAAAATTTCTTCAAAGAGGATGCCATGTTCCTGGCCTGATAAAGATGAGAAAGAAGTTGAATTTTTTAAGATTTTAAACATTGTTATAGTTACTTTAATTTCAGTGATACTGATGTTGATCCTCTTTTTTAACCAACACATAATAACCTTCTTAAATGAAATCACTTCAATATGTTTTTCTGAAGTTTCTTTATCTGTTTACCAAAATTTATCTAACAATCTGCATGATTTAAAGAATCTGCTATGTCACACTTTATATTTACTGAAGGAATTCATGTGGAAAATAGTTTCTCGTTGAAAATTCAAATCTGAATTGTTTAAATAGGCTTATTCTGTACAGCAGACTAATAGCCATTGCTAAAGGGAGATATAGGGTAGGATGGACAAATAGCAAAGTAAACTATCAGATTTACAGCAAATATAGAAATATGTTAAACCATCCATGCTGCTTAGATGGAAATTTGTCAGTTAGAAATGATACATAAGGTGTCTTAACCAGAATATCTAGTTTATTTGATTTAATATATTATCCCATTTTATTTGCTTGAGGTTGACTTTATCGTTATGGCATTGAAATACTCCTGTACCAATACGGTCTTTTAGCTTTTTTGTTTTTGTCTTCTAGCATTCTGTTACTGCAGTGGATAGTGTTGCAGTTATGTATAAATAGTTTTTAGATCAAAAGATAGCAAAATCCTTAGTGTATAGGCCTTTATTTTGATATGGCTTAAAGCCTTTGGCCAAATAAGGATGTTGAGTAGAGGTATTAAATTCAAGTAGCAAAGTCTAAAAGTGATAAGGGATTGTTTACATTAAGGATATTTTTGATCAAATATATCTGATTACCTGATAACATTAATGTATTTTAAGATAGACTTAAGAGCCCTGGAATGTTTATCAACATTCATTCCTGACAAAGCTATGGCTTTTGGAAATACATTGTTAGGGAACAAGCAGTGACCTTTTTCAAATAATGGTCTTATTTTATTCTGTGGTTTGTGTAAATTTAACATTTTGGTTAGTGCTTTAGTCTTGCCAGTCAAACCTGTTCTAGGATAAAAACTCAAAACATATTAGCATTATATATTGCCGATAACTTCCATCATTGGATTTAGGTGGCATCATGTTAACTCTATTTGTCTTAAAAAATGGTCTTTTCCTGCTATTTGCTAATGCTGTTATCAAAGTACCAATAATTTAACTTTCTTAAATTTTGCTTAAATGAGAGCCTGTGTGGCTAGTCAAATCCCTTTGATTAGTTCCCTTATTGTTAATAGGGACTGGAATTGTGGTGCTTGTGGTAGGACTTTGGCTTGCCCCTTTTGTTCATGAAAACGTTAAGTAAAAGATCATTTTCCAGAAATTCCAAATTGGCTGTTGCTCTTAGATCCATTCCCTAGGAGCCCTATGTAGTTCAGACTTTCAGGTCATTTTGGGGAATGTTCCTGGTCCTATACTGCATATAAATTATAATGAGTTAATATGGCTGTAGTTCTAAAACGTTCCTAATGTCTTATCTGCTGAGAATATCAACACAAAGATGGCTGACTGTATGAAGTCAAATATATGACCAGAATCAGAATATATATATAGCACAATTAACAATCACGTAGGCAAAGAACACTTGGAGGGTATTAATGGTGGTGAGCTAAATATTAAGGTATTAAAATAAAAATACAACATAGTAACTTAGATTGAAGTTGGTTGGTCACAATACAAAAATGCCTCACTTTTTGAATACACCTATTAGTAAGCACTGAAATTTCTAGCTGTTTGTGTCAAGCACTTCATGTCAGGTTTCTGAAGTAATTATCTTCCGACTTTTTGTAGATAAAGAAACACAACCAGAAGCGGTTTGCCTAAGGCCATACAGCCTGCATAAGGGACAGTATAATTTTAGAGTTTCTCCTGTTATGCTACCAAAACCTTAAGCCAAGATTTTTATTCATTTAGGACTAATTTATGTCTAAGAATCTATTTATAATAGCTAAAGATTGGAACCATATACTTATTAACACATTTTAGGTTTGACACTGTTTTGTAAGCTGCCAGTTCTTAGACAAAACTATGAATTTTATGTAGTGTGTATGAATATAGTCAAGAATACAAATAACTGATTCTTAATACATGCTGTTGTTTTAGAATTCTTATCAGGAGGGTGAAACTGTAAAAGTATATAATTCTTGAAATATTTCTAAGTTTTATGTATCAAAATATATTTTAATAAACTTATTTTGCTATTTTATGTGCATTGAGTGGCTTAATAAGGTGCTCAAACTCAGGGGTAGTAGCTCTGGAATTTTCATATGGGTAACGGGAATTATCTAAACGTTTTTTTAAGACTTAAAATGTTGTAGAGCTTAGTACTAGAGTATTAAATTCTGGAAATTAATCACTACTTTCACCAATGAAAAAGCACTTGATTATATTCTTTTTACTTTTCCCTTATATCTTGATTTAAAACAAATGACCATACTAGAGTTTCACATCTTGCTTTATTTAAGTCCATGCTCATGTATTTACATATTTAATGACTGTGTTATAATACAAACCATCTTTGTTGGATCTTTTAATACCTAAACAATGGCTGATTATTGAGCTAATAACTTTTAGTTCTAATTCCTTAGGATCAGTATCCCAAAATCAAATAGCTAGGGCAAAGACTTGATTCAATACCAGAATTCCTCTTGAAAACCAAGTGGTTGCCAACTTCAGTTACAGTGTAACACCAAGCTAATGCAGAAAAGAAAAAGCCCTGGCAGATGGATAGGCAAACAATTCCCATTTATACTAAGAAAGTTAACCCCTACATACTTTTTTTTTTTTAATAAAGCAATAATAATGGGTATTTATTCCTTTTTCACTGATGAGTATCTTATTCATGTTCAGATACTGCCTGTTTGTTTGCTGGCTGGCCCTCTTGCAAGTTTTAAACACACTGAGTTAGAAAAGCATATAAAATTTTTAAATTTTCATCTTGCAGAATTCAGAACTGTTTAAAAAATGTTCCCATTGTTTGGGTAATAAATACAGTGACTGTCCAAACTGTTATAGTAAATTAAATAGAATACCTTAAGAATTTATTCATTAGTAGTTGGTAGGCTTTTCCACTGTAGATTAGGGATCCATGATGGTATACTGCATCTTGAGTAACATGATGTAGTTTAGAACTTACTGTTCATGAACGAACATTTAACTCTGTTGGTAGTAACTTTGGAGTAAGGGCAAATCATCTAGCACTCCCAAGCATCTTATTTTCTCCAAAGTCTGCTGCTTACAAAACTGTCAGATTTTTAGTAACCTAGAAGCACGTATATAGAATATTTTTAAAAATATTTTATTTGAGAGACAGAGGACACAAGCTGGGGAGAGTCAGAGGGAGAAGCAGATTCCTTGCTGAGTGAGCAGAACCTGATACAGGGCTCAATCCTAGGGTCCTGGGATAATGACCCAAGCCAAAGGCAGATGCTTAACCAACTGAGCCACTCAGGTGTCCCTAGAATATTTTATTAGACTATTTAACCTATCTCCTAATAGCATAAACTAGAAACCAGTTAGTTATATGATCCAGTTTAGGAATATATATTTTACATAATTTATAGTCCTTTACAAATAGAAAATCAATAATACAATATGCTCAATCTACGCTGATTCAATTTAAGGAATCCTGGCTATAAATAAATTCAACAAAGTCCTTTAGATGCGATTTGTTTTGGGTTTACTGCAACACTTTTTGTTATATTGTATGTCTTGTAAATTCCAATAAGTCTGTCTGAAATCTCAAACATGTTATTTCGAAGAGAAATTATTATGAACTGGGCATTTTTTGTTTGTTCCTAAAGAGAGAAAAAAATGGAAGTATTAGTAACAAGTAAATCCTAACAAACATCTAACTTACTTGAAATGTTTTTGCTGGGCAATAAATTCAACATTAGTTTGATAATTAAGATGAAGAGGAATGATAGCATGTGTAATTTATGACACAGCATTTGAGAGGAATTTGGGTATTTTGGGCTGCATGGTTGCCTAGAAGCTTCTAGTGGGGGGGAAAAAAAAAATCTAAGGAGACCAGGGATTCTAGTTGGGTTTCTGCTACTAATTTACATTACTTGTCCAAATTAGAAATATTTAGTTCAAATAAAGGACTTGGTCTCTCAGATACTACAGGACACAGTGTTAAGAGTATAGGGGAAAAGCTCAAAAGAAGTAAGTCCGTAAATTCCATGTAAATAAATTCCTATAAAATTCTCAGAATGAAAACCTCTAAATGATTACTTACATATATATAAAATGCGACAATGGACACATTTTTAAAATCAAGGGCCGCATCAATCTCATCCATGAAGTACAGAGGAGTAGGTTTGTAGTGGTGAAGAGCAAATACTAAAGCCAATGAACTAAGTGTTTTCTCTCCTCCTGAAAGATTGAAGATCTTCTTCCAACTTTTCTTAGGTGGTCGAACACTGTATTAAGAAAATCTCTTATTAGATAACTTGCAAAAGCTGAAGATTTCATGATTTGTTTGCTTTAAAACTGGCTTCTACTATCTTTCTGGGGATCTCTAATTTGATTTTCACAGATTTAAACTTTTTTGAAGTTATTTTGTAAAAATGTTATTGGAGAACGAACACATAAGAACACCTACCAAAATTTTAAGATTTAAACAGCAAGACAGTAAACACTTCTTGCTATTCTTCTGTTTCCAGTGCATTTTTTTTTTGCTTTGCAACTTTAAATCCTAATGTTAAACTGAAATGGCTCAAAAATTTAAAAAGATGAACTAGACAAATATAGTGTAAAATTAAGTATTTGTTTGCTGCTTGCCCGGAATTTATGTTGTAAATTGCCAACATGTAAACAAATTAGTACTCACCATCAAACAAAACAAGCTGGAGATCTAAACTACACATCCCACCCTTAAAAAAATACTGACAGTTTGGAGAATACATAGAGATATGTAACAAGAGGATCCAAAACTCAGTATAATTACAAACCTGAACATGATTCCTTCAGAGAAAGGATCCAAGCTGTCTACAAGCTCCAGTTCAGCATCACCTCCCAAAGTTAGCATTTGGTAATTTTCCTTTAATTTATTTGTTATTATATAAAAACCTGCCATGAATTCATTAAGCCTTTGTTTCCGTAGATCTTCATATGCCTGTCTAAACTTATCTCTTTCGCAAGTAATTTTGTCCAATTCTGCTACCCGCTGTAAATATAATTCTTCCTATGAAAAAAAATCAAAAACATCTATTCAGTTACTCTTCTGAAATGAGAGTTAAAACTGCTAATTATACAAATTAAAATTAACAATTTAGGTTAAGGATTAAAGAATTTCTGACTAAGTCATTAACAGTTTATTCATACCTTCTTTTTATACTCTGCAATGGCACCAAGGTTTGGTTTCATTTCATGACACTGGGCTTCTAAAAGTGCAATTTGATTTGTTATAGAATCTGGGTTCTTGATTGCTTCAAGATCCTCTGGGGTTAAAACTGCAATCTCTTCAAGAGGACTGTCTTCTATGGGATGCAATGATATTTTTGAAATCTAAAATTTCAATTTAGATGAGCGTTAGGGAAGGCACAGAACTGTAACTGTTTAAAAAAAAAATCCAATCACTATATGACAAATTACTTCTCTATTAAATATATACTAAGGATTTATGGCAATTATTTTTCCAAGGACAAGAAGAAAAATATTACAGTGTTCCAAAATATTCACGCAGCCTTTTGTTAAATCTCTGAATCAGCCCTAGGGTGAAAATACTGACTAGTGGAACCATTACACAGATTTTTCTATATATAGAAATTACTATATATTGTTCATTACATCCCCTATAAACCTAAGAAATGATTATCTCTGGGGATTAAGAATCACAACATCTCAAAAATACAAAATAGAAACAAGAAACACAACTCTTCCATAAAGGATCTTTAAAAGTGACATTTAACTAAATGGTAACCATCTTACCTCTTTTTGCCAATATTTTATTTTCGAATTATGTTCAGCAATGTGACCATCTATTTGTTCAAGTTTCAACTTAATACTAAGTGCATCTTTTTGAAGAGCATGTTCATTTTCTTGAATTATTTTTAGTTCTTGAAGTAGATTACGATGTTCTCTTTGGATCTCCGGTAAGGACCCCTAAAAAACAAGAACAGCTACTATGGATAATGACCTTCCCAAATGGAAAGAAAGAACAGGTATTTTTACATTACAGAGATGAAGAAATTAGCAATCTCTCCCTATGCCACTTCCATTTTAAAAGTTTATTTATGGAAAAGTTACAATACTCTATTTTTTATTGTACAAATAAATGTTAGTTATAGCTACAAAAGTTTTAAGCTATTGAGTCTACTATGTCAAGGTACTGATGTCATATATCCAAATCTTTAAATTGCTTCCAATACGATGCACTCCCATCTCCAAGTCTTACCTCTGCAGCATTTGTGTTCTTTACGACCTCTGCCGCTTTGTCCTCAAGACTTTTTAGTTCTGCTGTTAAATCATCTACTTCTTTCTCAGTGTCTTTTATTTCTCTCTCTGTGCGAAAGACGGAGTCTTGTGCTTTTTTAAGATTTCTAAACAAGCAAAATGATACATTAAAAATGTGCTAACATGGGATATATTATCCTGCTTATGAGAGTTTACCAGAAAACTTCATGACATTGAGAGATTTTACTATCACAGATTTTAAAATTTATGATTTTTGAACCACCCTTGATATGGTTTGTTATACATACACTTCTGGGATGTTGTATATTTTATTAAACTCTGAATATAAATTAATGAAACCTAAACCTAAATGTCTGTTGTATTATTATATTATTGTCATTTTCTTATCTGATTGGAGATCCTTAAATCCCTACACTCATGAAGTTATACCTTCCAATAGATAATACCTTCTAGTTAGGGCAACGCGTGTTTCCCGAGAAGGGGAACAAGGACTTTTTTCTCCCTTAATAAAAGTTACTTCTACTTTGACCAATGTGTTTAGACAAACTTTTGCTCCTAAGAAACAAATGGCTTATTAGTGCTTTATCTACCTTTGAGCCAAAGACACTGGAGTAATTTAACTAGACAAAATTGTAACAAATTATTAAGATAAAAAAGTTATTTACATTTTAACATTTTATAAACATATTTAAGCTTTATCTAGAAACACCAATACTCTGAAAATTGATTTAAAAACAAGACCTATGAATGGTTAAGACAATGGAGTAATCTAATTAATCATAAACTAAGTTATCAAGACAATTTTGCTAATTCTCCTAGATCAAGATCTATTTAATAACCATCGAACTACTCTATGCCAGAGAAATAAAACAGATTTTTAGGTGCACACAAGTGGAGAATTACAGAACTATACTTTGCCAAGGCATATATCTGTTCACCACTTAAAACACACATCCTCCTCACAATGGTCATCATAAATGTTTATAGGTTTCCCTTTACTAAAGTCCTATTAGATAAAAACATGTTAGATAGGGTTAATAAGTAATAGCATGCTTTCCATGCTTTTCCAACATGGAAGCAGGAAGAAAACTGGTTAGGGTTAGCATACATACTCTACCTGTCAGCAGTCTTGATTGCTACTTGGGCTTTAGTAATAGCAGAAGCACATTCATCTAATTGCTTATTTATTTTATCAAGTTTGTCTTGTTGGGCCTTGAGTTTATGGTTATTGATTTCTACGATAATATTGTGTAATCTTTTAACCTCAGCTTCTACTTTTCCAGCTCTCTCAGCCACGTTGTCATATTCTGAAATAAAAAGAAGAGCTCAATTCACGTTTCTAGGTTCACACACTATCACTTACTAGATGTAAATTTTGTCAGTCATATGACTTAACCTGATGCACGCAAAATTTTAGACATTTGGGGAAAAGTGTATCTCAAAAAACCCAGAACACACTATGTCAAAACAAATGGTATTATAACCGCACATGGTTAAATTCTCTGGCTTAGCCATAGCATAAGCCACTCATTTCTTCTTCTTTTTAAAAAATTAATTAATTAATTATTTATTTAATTTGAGAGACAGAGATCACAGGTAGGCAGAGAGAGAGAGAGGGGGAAGCAGGCCTCCCGCTGAGCAGAGAGCCCGACGCGGGGCTTGATCCCAGGACCCCGGGATCACGACCTGAGCCAAAGGCAGAGGCTTTAACCCACTCAGCCACCCAGGCACCCCAAGCCACTCATTTCTTAATGGCTTCATGCGCTCAGGCTCTTTTCAAAAATCTTTGCAACTTTTTCTTAGGTACTTCCTTGATTATTGTTCTCAATGATTTTTACCCTCAGACTATGTGCCTATTAACTTGCCTGTGGTAAAACCACCACCACCACCACCACCACCACCACCACCACCACCACCACCACACACACACACAAACTGTGGTTATTCTATTTTGTTAACCTAACTTAAAGTTCTCCTTCACATGTTACAACAAAGTAGGGGAGAGAGAGTAACTGGCACTTTTCTCTGTGGCACAGAAAACTAAAAGTTACATTTCCCAGATTCCCTCCTACCTAGGGTTCAGACATAATTTGGAAGGCATACATGATGACATGTTTCTACTGGCAAGCAGGCATAGAGAAATTTGCATTTTCTCAGTGGCATTAGAAGTTCTGGTATGCAGTCAAAAGCTCTGTGAGTACTGTCAGGCAGTAGCACTAACGTGGACAGTGGAAATTACAGTAAGTGCAACGGGCTTCTGTTGTTGGTAGTTGCAGGATCACTATACCAGTTTGAGAGCAGATGTTCCAACTGTGTAAGAGGCAGTATAGATCATTTGATGGTTCTTTAGAATAGCTCTAGAAATGATTCTTCATTGTTCAACCTAAAATTTCCTTTAGTCATCCCTAGGATTCTGTAAACAATCCAGTGCTCTCAAACAAACGCATGCACTATATAAATTCCAATTACACTAGCCAAAGTTGATTCTATTCTCCATTTTTTTTTCTCTAAGAGAGCATGCTCATATACATGGTAGGGGTTGGAGGAAGGCCACAGGGCAGCAGTAGAGCAGTGGCAGAGGGACAGAATCTCAAGCAGGTTCCACGCCCAGCACAGAGCCTGACACAGGGCTCAATTGTACTACCCTGACATCATGACCTGAGCCAAAATCAAGAGGTGGATGTTTAACTAACTGAGCCACCCCAGCGCCCATGATGCATGAATTCTAATCACTATACAATAGAAGAAGAATGAAAGGTGACAAAAAGGTGAAGAGTTCAAGCTACTAAGAATACTTACAGGGGCGCCTGGGTGGCTCAGTTGGTTGAGCTTCTACCTTCGGCTCAGGTCATGATCCCAGGGTGTGGGGATCTAGCCCCATGTTGGGCTCCCCTTCTCCCACTCCCTTTGCCCACCACCCCCCGACTTGTGCTTGCTCTCTCGCAAATAAAATCTTAAAAGAAAAAAAAAAACCCAAAAACCAAAAAACGAAACTTGCATCAAACAGTGAGCTAACTTATAGAGAGTCCCATAAAGCTCCTATAGGAGGTATATATGGGCATCTGGCAGATGCCCATATGAGAACAAGATTGGATGAGGATTTAATGACTGCTTCTCCTCCACTGTCTCTTCTCTGTTCGATACATTGGAATTCCAACAAATCTCCGAATCTTACAATTTTACCATTTCTCCTATGTTTTTGTTCTACATTGCCAGAGAATTCTTTCAGCCCATCTATTTTTTTTTTAAGCTTGAAAGCAAGCAAGCGGGGGAGAGGCAAAGGGACAGGTAGAGAATCTTGAGCAGACTCCATGTCCAGCAGGGAGCTTGATCTCATGACCCAGATATCATGACCTGAGCCAAAATCAAGAGTTGGAAGCTTAACTGAGCCATCCAGGTACCCCTCAGCCCATCTATTGAATTTAATTCTAACACTCATTTTTTTACATTTCTGAAATCACCAGTTGGCTCCTAAAACAGTAACTTCTGCCTTTTTTTGGTTTTCTGTATCCCCCTTTTATCCTAAGGATATACACATTGAAAATATACACACATTTAAAAGTTCTATATTGCCAACACTAGTAATCCCCCTAGTACTCTATTGAATGAATGATTTTGCTTACAGTGTCAACATTCTCTTAAGTCAAAATTCCATTAGGCTGCCTGCATGCTCTGCTCACCAGCTACTAGGGGGGCTGGCAACATAATTTATACTTGGGGGATGGGTCAGAATGTCCCTGGAAAGGTTCCAACTTTTAGAACATTTTCTTCCTAGTTTTCAAGTTATCTACTATGCATTTCTTCTTCTTGTTTAAAAAATATCTATAGTAGTAGGGCACCTGGGTGGCTCAGTGGGTTAAAGCCTCTGCCTTCGGCTCAGGGTGATCTCAGGGTCCTGGGATCAAGCCCCGCATTGGGATCTCTGCTCAGCAGGGAGCATGCTTCCCCCTCTCTCTGCTTACCTCTCTGCCTACTTGGGATCTGTCAAATAAATAAATAAAATCTTAAAAAAAAAAAAATCTATAGTAGCATGTCTATTAGAAGTAGGAGGAAAAAAACTGGCATATATAATCCATAATTTTGAAGTCATTATTCTATAACCACCTTGCTCCCTTTATTCTCTAGACATTACTTTTAAAATTTTAAATTAATATAAAATGAAATATTTAATTTTAAAGATATGCTTACAGAAATGGGTCCTTTAGAATAAACATTAACATAATCTATTGATAATATCCAGTATTTCCATGAGAAGAGCTATATATGTATATACGGCCCTTATTAAAGTCAAGGCTTCCTTTTCAAACAAGAATGAAATACAGATTCTTTGTGAAAGTGTTGTTATAAATGACACATATACATTTTTCGTCTCTCAATTGACAATTGCGTACCAAGAAAGCAATCAAAAAATACTGTGCTATTTGTGGGGAAAGAGGAGCGTGGGTTAAGTTAATGTGTCCACAATAAGAAAATATAGATCCAAAAGAAATGCAAGGGAAAAAAAAACCCTGGTCACATAATGCCACTTCCCTGTACATCACTCTCCAGTGGCTATTTTTCTTGGAGACCTGGCCTATACTGCCCTATATTATCTGGATTCTTCCTTTACTTTAGTCATTCTGGCTTCATTGTGTTCCAAGAGACTCCCCATACTCTTGCCTCAGGGCCTTTGTACTTACTCCTCTATGATCTTGGAATGCTTTTTCCAAGTATCACATGGTTAGCACTCCTACTTCTGTTTGGTCTCTGCTCAAGTATCTCTAATAGAGGTCCATCTAGCCACTGTGTCTGATTCTCATCCCCTGCCCTGTTAACCCGTTTTATTATCACTTAGCACCACCCAATATAAAATGTAGTATGTTTAGCTTCCTCTCTGATGTGTGAGGTTCTTAAATAGAGGGGCTTCATTTTATTCAATGCTCAATCACCAGCACCTAAAACAAACCTGGCCATGGCCAGTACCAGATGCTGAGTATCTTAATATTAAAAATTCACACAAAAATGCAGGATCAAAAAAATAAAAAATTCACACAAAAATGCAGGATCACAAAAATAAAAAAGTTAATATGGGTAACTGCTAAATATTCAGTGTGCATAGTGGACATGTCTACTTAACATATTTTTACCTCTTTTTTTTTTGCAAGAAAACTGTCCTAATTTGGAGCCTTTGGATAATCACTATTTGTCCTCCTGGGCTCATGAACGGAACCATAACAGGGGTCTTTCTTGAGGATGTGACAAAAGGCTTACAGTGTGTGCTAAAGACTCTAGCTAAAATATTTTAAGTCAGGAAGGGGTCTGTCATCATAACCCATCATGCCTTCCTCACATAATAAGATGCACATCTATGTTTGATTGAAGCAAACATGGAAAGGGAAGCAGGGCTGCTCAAGTACATAATCAGTAAATTTCAATTTCAAAGACAATTCTGGCTATAAGCCCATGAATTTCCTTTCTTGATTTATGATATTGATGGTACACTTACATGTACACAAGAAGAAAAAGTTCTAGAAAAAAACAAAACAAACCATGTTTTCTAAGTTTTCAAAGACTGTTTTTCTTCATGTGTGTACCACTTATTTCCTGCATGCTTTTGTTTAAATGATACTGTTTCCTAAATCTATAAAATAACTACTATTTTAAAGGGTAACTGTTAAAGATCATTAAAGACTATAAATAAAGGAAGGAGAGATTCCTTTAGCTCTGGAATCAACTAGAATTTCTGTGTGAGGCCTTTAGGGGAGACAATCCAATTGGAGGAGAGGACTGGAGGCTATCCTGAAGCTGCTTTTATTTATTTATTTTTAAAGATTTTATTTGTTTACTTGACAGACAGAGATCATGAGCAGGCAGAGAGAGAGGAAGGGAAACAGGCTCCCCGCTGAGCAGAGAGCCCGATGTGGGGTTCGATCCCAGGACCCAGAGATCATCACCTGAGCTGAAAGCAGAGGCTTAACCACTGAGCCACCTAGGCACCTCCTGAAGCTGCTTTTAGAAACCATATAAAACCAAGAAAAAGGGGTGTCTGGGTGGCTCAGTGGATTAAAGCCTCTGCCTTCGGCTCAGGTCATGATTCCAGGGTTCTGGGATCGAGCCCCACATCAGGCTCTCTGCTTGGCAGGGAGCCTGCCTGCTTCCTTCCTCCCTCTCTGCCTGCCTCTCTGCCTACTTGTGATCTCTGTCAAAGAAATAAATAAAATCTTTAAAAAAAAAAAAAAAAAAAGCATGTTATCTCTCTTAAAGAATGTCATGGGGCAGGGCACCTGGGTGAATGACCAGCTCTTAGTTTCCACTTAGGGCTCTGGCTCCAAACTCAGAGCAGAGTTTGCTTACAGATTCTCTCTCCCTCTCCTCCCACCCCCAGCTTGCTCTATCTCTAAAATAAATCAATCTTAAAAAAAAAAAAAAAAAAAAAATGCCATGGGGCTTTAGTAGGACTACAGAAGCCTCCGAAAGCCATCTCATTGTACTCCCTTAGAAATCTAGAAGAACTGCTTGCAGGAAAAGGCACTCAGATTAACAAGGAAGGGAGTAGGAAAATGTAAAGGTGCTAAACAGAGGGGCATCTTGATCCAAGGTACAGAGACCAAGAAAGGGGAGGTAACCTGGAAATGGGAATGATAGGAAAGAGGCAGTTAAAAGTCTGCTTTGGGGACACCTGGATGTCTCAGTGGGTTAAGCGTTTGCCTTCAGCTCAGGTCACAATCCCAGTTCTGGCTTTGAATCCCACATGGGGCTCTTTGCTCAGCAGGGAGAGCCTGCCTCTCTCTCCCTCCCCATGGCTTGCGCTCGCTCTCTTTCTCTCTCTGGGCCAAATATATTAAGTATAAGATTAAGAGCATGGGTTCTGGAATCAGACTGCCTTGGTCCTCAATTCCTCTATCACCACATGCTGTATGACCTTAGGCAAATTATATAAACGATTCTGGGGTGCCTAGGTGCGTCACTTGGTTAAGTGACTGCCTTCAGCTCAGGTCATGATCCTGAAGTCCCAGGATGGAGTCCCACATCAGGCTCCCTGCTTGGCAGGGAGTCTGCTTCTCCCTCTGAACCCTCCCTCTTCTCATGCTCACTCTCTCTGTCAAATAAATAAATAAAATCTTAAAAGAAAAACAAAACCCCAAAAAACAAAAACCAACCATAAACCATTCTGTGCTTAAGTTTTCTTATCAAATGAATTACTTAATAGTACTTAGTTTATAACCTTTTAAGAACAAAATAATAGAAACCATGAAACAGAGACGTGACTTGCACAGAAGTATGTGACTGCTATTTTTATTCTATAAACTGCTACATTAAATACTTCAAACATTAAAAGCTTATTTTTAACAATCTTAAAAAAAAAAAAAAGCACGTATGAGTAAGCATGTATCTTTAAACATACCTGTTTTGAAAACACTAACATTTTCTTCTAGTAATTTCTGCTTTTTTTTGTCAGGGGCTGTAGCAAGTACATTAGCTTCAAGTTCCTTAACTTGGACATTCAAATATTCTTCTTGCTCTGATAAACGCTACAGAAATGTTTTAACATTATGTCACTATTTTAACTAATAATATTTGCCTTAAATACTTTAAAAGAAATAAAGACACTTAAAATCTTTAAGAAAATACTAACAGTAAAAGGGCAGAAAACATGAACAATTAATATAAAACATGAAAATGGCAAACACAGGAAATTTGTAATTCATCAAAAACGAGTTAAAATGCCATTTTTTGGGTGCAGATTAGCAAACTTAAAATATACTGAAAACTACACCTAGTGTTCAGACTTGGAAAAACAATTACCTGTATGTTACTAAAAGTTAAATGAATCAGAACCATCTTTTTGAGAACAATTTTACATTATACAATAATGCCTGAAACACTGTACCCATAGTGGGTAATAATTTTAGGAATCTAACCTAATAGTTGGATGAATGTATAAAGATATACCTAAAAAGGGTTATTTATTTTGAAGATTTTAAGTAATCGTTAGACCCAACCTGGGGCTTGAACTCACAACCCTGAGATCAAGAGTCTCAGGCTCCACAGACTGAGCCAGCCAGGTGCACCTGACAAGGGTATTTGAAACACAGCAATATTCATGACATGGAAAAGCATTTATCAAATTGTGATACAAACGAAATGCTCAAATGCAGCTGTAAACAAAGTAAATTCACACTGGTTTGGAAAGAAAACCACAATTTACTATGAAAAGTTAGTATGACTCATTAAAAATCTATGCATATATCCATATCAACCATAAACAAACACAAAGACTAAATATTTATATTAAAAAGTTGAAGGATATACATAAAAATTAAGGGTGATAATCTGGGTATTTTCTGCAAACCACTTTTTTTTTTTTCAATAGTGGGTATGCTCTGCTTTTCATAATTAAAAAGCACTCTTCTTTGAAAAGAGAATGAACATAAAGGCTCACATAGATGTTAAAGGAAGACTCCATTAAGTATAAATGAAAGCCAAGAATAGCTGTGGTTAGAGCAAAACTGCAACAGAGCATTTATCCATTAGTACTAAGGGAAATGAAATCAAGACACAGGATTTCCATCTAGAGACCCACTCTCCTCCCTTATATTCTAAAATTATAAGCAAACAACGAAATGCTTCTGCCAAATGTTACTGAATTCCAAGAGTTTTAGCTAATATTGACAAAAGAGTACCTGGATGCTTGCAGTAAATTTTTCTAGTGTATTCCTCATTTCTTGCTCATTATGCCTTAACTTAACTACTGCTTCTTCCAGTTGCACTTTTTGCTCCTGGATTTGCATTGCTTTTTGAGAATCTCTCTGCAACTGGGATTCCATCCTATTTACCTACAAAGAATACCAGAGAAATAAGTTTACTCCATGAGTCACTTCGGATTAGCAGCCAAATCAACCAATGAATGAAGAAAACTGAAACTTGTGATTTTAAAGACTAGAATAAAACCAAAAATCCAGTTCCAATTCACAATCCTAAAGCTTAGGAGATGGTCGAACTGATTTGTGCATCACATTTTAAGTGCTGTATAGTTACCTATTACACCATGAAAATTTTTAAGTGGAAGCATAGCAACTATTTCAAAATATGAGAAAAACAAACAAATAAAACACACAAAAACCCCAAGACACACCTTTTTGGAAAAAGTTCAGTATCCAGGACATTGAAGTATATGTTTTTAAGGAATAAAAAAGTATAGTGTTCCAAGGGGATGATGGAACACGGAAGTTTTTTCTAGACATTTTAACATTCTCATATACTTCTGGTCATGTTAAAATATTCTGAAATAAAATTTGAAAATATGCATCAGAAGTCTTTGCTATACTTAAATTTTTTTGAAATAGAAAAAACAATTACACACTGCAACAATAATTATATGTGGAAAAACATTAAATGTCAAATGATGAGTGGTTAAATTATGAAATATCCATATGATCCAAATGTAATACTAGAAAGATACATATGTGGAGCATATATTTTCTAATTAACATGTTTTATTTTTAGAGCTTTAGAGGGTTTTATATTTTAAAAAATTCCCAAAGCTTATGTCATTTATACAAAATTCAATCTGTTAACTTAAAATTTGAGTATGCTTAGGCTGAATTTTATAGTATGTATGTTACATATCAATAAGCTTAAATAAAGGTTTGACTATAATTTTATATATGCTGACCTCTTCTTCCGAGATTTCAACAACAACTGATGAACCCATCCTTCCTTTCATTACTTTGCTTCCACCACCAGTCATTGTACCTATAGAACAGAAGTCAGACTTAGTTGTCTCCCCCAACAAGATTAAATAAACTCAATGCCAGGAAAAAAAAATGTTTATTACCTGACTGTTCTATGATTTGCCCCTGTAATGTCACCACTCTCCATCTTCTATCTTTTTGATATGCTACTCTTGTGGCTTGGTCTAAATTGTCAGCAACTAAGGTATCCCGTAAAGCAAAGTAAAAAGCCTGGCGAATTTTCTCATCTTTTACTTTTACTAAATCAAATAACCGAGGAGTATTTTCAGGAGTTTGAATTTTGGTCATTTTATTTGCCCACACGGTCATCTAAAAGTTAAAAAAAAAAAAAAAGTATCATTTCAGGTATCATTTATGTAAATAATATACATACATGTGTATCAGGTAAGATCATGTACACAAGGTTCTGAATATCTGCATAACTGAGTATTATTCTACTATTATTGGAAGAGTTACTGTAAAATTCTATTCACAGATGATATATAAAATCTTATGGAATATACACACACAAAACTATTAAACCTAGTATTTTAGCAAATCAATATACAAAAATTAGTTGTATTTCTATACACCAGTAATAACCTAAAAATGAGATTAAAAAATTCCATTTATAAGGTCATATTAAATAAGAGAGAAAACCTCCAAAACAGGAATTTAACAAAAGAAACAAAGAAAAACCGTATAGTAAAGGCTATAAAATATTATGGTATAGATTCAGTCCTAAAAAAAATGGAAGACATCCCCAGCTCCTGGACTGTTAAGGTTTAAAATTATTAAGATGGCAATACTACACAAATTGATATACAGATTCAATGCAACCTGCATCAAAATCCCAGTTACCTTCTCCTCCCCCACCCTGAAACTGACAAAATTCATATGGAAATTACAGGGACTCAGAATAGCCAAAACAATCTTGATATCAAAGAACAAAATTCGGGGTGCCTGGGAGGCTCAGTCGGTTAAGAATCCGACTCTTGATATCAGGGTTGTGAGTTCCAGCCTTGCACTGGGCTCCACGCTGGAGGTGGAGCCTACTTAAGAAAGAAACAAAGGGGCGTCTGGGTGGCTCAGTTGGTTGAGTGACTGCCTTCGGCTCAGGTCATGATCCCGGAGTCCTGGGATCGAGTCCCACATCAGGCTCCCAGCTCCGTAGGGAGTCTGCTTCTCCCTCTGACCTCCCCTCTCATGCTCTCTCTCTCTCAAATAAATAAATAAAATCTTAAAAAAAGAAAGAAAGAAAGAAACAAAGGAACAAAATTAGAGGACTCCGGATTTCAAACTTTTTTACAAAACTATAGTAATTAAGACAGTGTGGTCCTAATGCAAGGACAGACTTACAGATAAATGTAGAGTCCAAAAATAAACCCTTACATTTATGGTCAGTTGATTTTTGACAAGGATGTCAAGTAAATTCAATGGGGAAAGAATAGTCTTTCCAACAAATGGTGCTGGAACAACTGGACATCCACATACAAGAGTAGAGTTAGACCCTTTAACACAGTATTATAAAATTAACATGGATAAAAAACCTAAATGTAAAAACTAAAGCTACAAAACTCACAGAAGAAAACAGAAGGTCAACCACCATGCCCTTGGATTATGTAGTAGTTTTAGATATGACACACAAAACACAAGAAACCATATTAAAAATTTATCAAAATTTGGGGCGCCTGGGTGGCTCAGTGGGTTAATGCCTCTGCCTTCAGCTCAGGTCATGATCCCAGGGTTCTGGGATCGAGCACCGCATTGGGTTCTCTGCTCAGCAGGGAGCCTGCTTCCCTTCTGCCTGCCTCTCTGCCTACTTGTGATCTCTGTCAAATAAATAAATAAAATCTTAAAAAAAAATTATCAAAATTTTTAAAAACTATGCTTCAGAAGAAACCATCAAGAAAGTGAAGACAGGGGTGCCTGGGTGGCTCAGTGGGTTAAGCCGCTGCCTTTGGCTCAGGTCATGATCTCAGAGTCCTGGGATTGAGCCCCACATCGGGCTCTCTGCCTGCCTCTCTACCTGCTTGTGATCTCTCTGTCAAATAAATAAAATCTTTAAAAAAAAAAAAAAAAAAAAAGAAAGTGAAGACAACCTATAGAACGGGAGAAAACCTTTGCAAATCACACATCTGACAAGAGATTTGGACCCAAAATACAGAAAAAGACTCTTACTACTTAGTAAGACAAATATACCAGTGAACAAATGGGCAAAGGACTTGAATCGTTCTCCAAAGAACATAAATAAGCACATGAAAAAATATTCAACATTAAGCATTCAGGAAATACAAATCAAAACCACAAAGAGAGGGGTGACTGGGTGGCGCAGTCAGTTAAGTGTTCAGTTCTTGCTCTCAGTTCAGGTTTTGATCTCTGAGTCGGGAGTTCAAGCCCCATGTTTGGGCTTCACACAGGGTATGGAGACTATTAAATAAACTGAAAGCTTTACACATTATGGATAGTACATGGTACAGCAGCAGTGGGAAAATGTCAGTTCCTCAAAAAGTTAAACAGTTAACAAATAACCCAGCAATTCTAATCCTAGGTATTTACCAAAGAGAGCTAACAACATGGGTCTGCAAAAAAGTCTGCATATGAACGTTCATGGCAGCATTACCCATACAGTCAAAACATGGAAAAAACACAAATGTTCATCATTGATGAATGGATAAACAAAAGGTGGAACATCCACAGACTAGAACAGCTTGGCAATAAAAAGGAACGAACTGTTGATGTATCCTACAACATGGATAAATTCTGAAAACCTAAACTAAACCACACACAAAAACCTATATATCGAATGATTCCATTTATACAAAACGCCCAGAACAGGTAAATAAAAAAGCAGATTTTAAGTTTTGGGGGTGGGGAACTACGAATGAGTAGATTTTTTTTTGGAGAGAGGAAAATATCCTGGAATTAGTGGTCATGGTTTAACAACCTTGTAAGTATAAGAAAACCCACTGAACTCTATACTTTAAAATGGTAAATTTTATGATATGTGAATTTTATCTCCATAAAAGGTTTTTGGTTTTGTTTTTTTTAAAGTAGTTACTGACAATGGAAGTTAAAAAGAGCTACCAGTCACTCTAATATTGGAATATATATTCCTTCAGGGGAGGCATTACAAGGTTTTTTCCTATAACCATATGTTCCTAGGGCCTAAAATAATCCTCAAAACATATCAGGTGTTCACTAAATAACTATAAAGAAAACTAGGGTTCAAAAACAAAAAAGTAGTTTTCACTTTAAAATTAAATTACAGGTAATTATAGGTAGCTTATTATGAATACCCACCTTATCCAAACCTATAAAGGTTGCAACTCCAATATTTTGTCTTTTAAGGAAGTTCACACAATCCTGGGCTGTATCAATAGAATCAACAACAATGTAGTCTAATGCATGACAACAGGAGGAAATAGCAACATCATATTTTTCATCAATTGCTCCTAAATCCCCCTAATAATTAAAAGGAAGGGAAAAAAAAATCAATGCATAATCAGTAAGAAATTAGGCACAGGATCATCACAATTTCTACAGACCTTTCATTACTTTTACGTGAAAAACTACTTATGTATGGTATAAATAATATAAAAAGGTTACACAATGAAAAATATGTGTTCTTCTCAACCTTCCCCTTCTGCAAAATCAATGATTAGTTTTTAATGTACCTTCAAAAAAATTTAGATATGCAGAATTTGAATTTTTAATGAACGCAAATGAGAACTGTTTATTGCATGAAAATAATGTGAAGATTTTAAAATCTTTCAACCTTAAAAGTACTATGGCATAAGCAAAATTCTAAAAATCTAAAAATTCAAAAAAAAAATAAAAATTTTAATTACTGAAAGCCAGCTAAGATTATTTAAGTCCTGATGAAACACATTTGTCTACATATCTATTAATCAGCCATTAAGCAGCATCATTAAGCAGCATCCACAGACTAGATTTTTCCATGAGAGCAAAAGAATAGAATCAGATTATCTCCCAACAAAATAAGGTGGAAGTCACCTGACATAAAGACATGGAAGTAACCACGGTGGGTAATTTTCATTTGCCCTCATCAATCATTCTTTTTCTGCTTCCTTCTCTGCAAGGTTGACTCAGGAACTACACTAATTGGTACCCTTAGTTCTCTAGCTTTAGAGAATGGGAGGTTATCAGCTCGAGATGGCATGGTAGAGATGAAAGGGGATGAAATATTTCCCCCTTTCCCTCCTGTCAGCCTCTAGCCATGACTACAGTTCCCTTCCCTCTTCAAGTTCAGGGGCAGTAATGGTCTCTCCACTACTGCTAGTCTTGGGTTTCTATATTACCCCTTGTTGATTTCCCTACATTCTAGCCACAACCTTCAGTAAAATGGTATAAAACACAAAATTTATCAAATTCTTGTTTTTTTAAAAAAAGAATGAAGTGGTTTTGTTACATTTCCTTATCCCAACCACCTAGTTTTTTCCTTGGTTAAGAAAATGATAGTTATCTGAAACTAAAAAAGAAAACTTATTTTTAATCCATACCCATAACCCATGAGATAATCCATACTACAAAGAATTTTATCAAGCCTGAAGAGCAAAATGTTTAAAAATCACTGTCTTTTAAAACTAAAATAAATGTTATTTCATGTACAATAACTTAGTATTACAGTTCTTTAAGTCAAAGGAAGAAAATTATTTACAATGTCTTTAAGAAAAATATATAGTCATTGCCAAATAAATCTACTTTACCAATCTTCCATATATTCCTGGAATCCTGCCAGATTTCTTTTCTTGAATTATTGCATCAAGGACTTTCCCCCTACTTCGATTCATTGCTAAGGAACTCTTTGCTTCTTCAACTTTTTGAAAGAGATCACGAACCAAACTTTTTAATTTTATTTCTTCTTGTGTAAGTTTTTGAAGTTCTTTTTCTTTCTAAAAGTGTAAAGAAAATGAATCCTAGAAGCACATGCCTAACCATAGCACAGAATTAGTTGCAATGCCTCATAAAAAAAAGGAAAGACCAATAAGAAACACTTGAACCAGAACTAAACTTCCATCTTGCAACCGTGGAGGCTAGGTTTGAAAATATGGATGAGTTTTCTATTTTAAAGGAACATAAAATTATTTGAGTCAATAATAAGGAACATAAGTGTAGTATGGTTCTGGTAGTACACTGACTGACAGAATGAGTTGAGCTATGGCTGTGGAAATCCCAGCTTGGCACCACATAGCTATGCAAAAGTGTGTCTTAATTCTTTAACATTTTAAAAAATGATTTTATATATTTGAGAGTGAGAGAGAAACCATGAGAAAGGGGAAGGTCAGAGGGAGAGGCAGACTCCCCGCTGAGCAGACAGATCAATATGGGACACAGTCCTGGAATTCCAGGATCATGACCTGAGCTGAAGGCAGACTTAACCGACTGAGCCACCCAGGTACCCCAGTGTATCTTAATTCTTAATGGCCACACTAATTAAAAATGGACCTTGGTATAGGACCCAGAAAACAGGTTAGTGGACAGGACTATGGTTATACTGTGCTTTGCATTCTAAATAATGACAGATATTTATATTTATTACACATGTATTTTTTTTCTTTTTTAAACCATAGCCCTTTAAAAAAAGATTATTTTAGAGAGGGAGAACATGTTCCCATGAATGGTGGGGTTGGAGGGGGGGTAGGACAGAGGGAGAGAATCTTCAAGCAGACTGCCGGCTGAGTGTGGATCTCCCCCTCCCACTTGGGGTTCTATGCCATGATCCATGAGATCACAACTGAGCTGAAACCAAGAGTTGGATGCCCAACTGACTGAGCTGACCCAACTGCCCCCAAAATGCAGTTTTGAAAGGGAACATGGTAAATGAATAATACTACTGCTATACAAAAATGCCAGGCTGCCAACAAGAGGAACCATACACATGGATACAAAACCCCAAACTCTATTTCACAATCTCTTAAGTTAGAGGAGCCACTTTTTTCCTGACATTCTCCCTATCTCCCGGCTTTAAAATATTACCTCTATTATTAGTCATGGTATCAAGTAAAAGCTCAAGTTACAAATATAATTTATCCCCAAATAAAATGAATCACCAACAAGACAGAAGTGGTCACTGGATATAATTCTACATTTTAATTTTAACTGGCCATGAAATTCCCTGATGACCAAATGGTGTACATTTACTAAAATAAAAAGGTTTTCAGTATAATTTAACTTCAAACAGCATTTTCTATTGCCATCTTACCCAATGAAGGTCTCCAAATTAAAGCTGTGAAATTCCTTAGAGACCTAATTCAGTCAAGGATAAGGAGGGGAACCTAATAAAGAGCTAAGTTAGATATCTTAATTTGTTTAAAACAGTATGCAGTCCCAACAATGACAACAACAAAACTATATCCTTAAATTCAAAATCAGAAAAAATATACTAAAATATATGTAAGAATGAATATAGAAACCATCTATTTAGGTTTTTCATTTACCCCTGCATAAGTTGTCTACATTTAAATGTAGGGAAACACAAACTTCCTTTTACTTCTGTGGGAAATAATGGTGGCAGTGGCAGTGTTATCTACTGTTTGACACTTCTGGGGAGAATATAGTTCCTTGATAGACTCAATTCACAACTAACTCCATTCTTTTGGGGAAGATTACACTAAATGAAAAAAGTAAATCTAAATGTATCAGTCACTTCAGATGTTTAAATTAGAAAAAATATATATAATGTATGAATTGATAACAAGGGTTGATAAATATTTCAGATGAAATACAGAAGCGAAGATTTACCTCCTTTAATTCCAGTTCAGACTGAGGGAGTCTTGCTTCAATTTCTCTGATTGCAGATTTCCTCTCTTTGAGAGTCTCAGAAGCTGTAATTAGAGCTTCTTTGGCCTTACTTAATTGAGACACTGCAGTATTATGACGACTGAGATAGATATCAAGTTCTGATTGGGCAACATCCATCTTTGAACGTGCTTCATTTACCAATTTGCTGAAACCCATAAGTTCTTTCTCTCGACTCTGTTAAAATATGATGGACTCCATTAAATCTGAAATACATTTTCAAAGCTAAGCTGAAATGGAAACTATACATGTTGACTTCACCTTTAGAGATTCTATAAACATAATACAAAAAAATAATTTTTACAATTGGAATTAGACTAGTAGTTTTTGCCTAGTGGCCAATGTTCACTATACATAAAGTTTCTTCCCAACTAATTTCACAAGGGCTTAATGGACTAGATGTAAATATGCTCATTTTGGAGATTAAAACAACAAAAAAAGAGTGGTCCAAAGAAAAACCCAAGTCTAAACTCTAGATCCATGGTCTTTCTACACTACTTTATCTGAAATGGTAAGGTATAAGGACTACTGAGCAGAAAGTTTCCTCAAGTATATTTATATTGAGAATCTTTGTAAATTTTAGAGGGTAGGCCGGGTAATCCTCAATACCAGTTATTATTTGACAAGTGAGCAGAAATTATGGGCTACTATAATTGACTGTGTAGAAATCTATATATTAGAATAATGGCAAATGAAAGGCCCTTACAAAAGCTCAATCCTTCCCTTTCACACATAAGGGAATAGGCCCAGGACCAGGGGTTATGTGCAAGGTCATCAGATCAGTTTAAATGTTTGATGGTGAAAATCATGAACACTAACATATACACACACTGCTCATGATGTTCTAGGCCTATCCTGAATGTTATATGAATTCTTTAACATAATGATTTTATGAGGTACTATCAATGCTCATTTTGAGGAAAATGAGGTCAGTTTAAATACTTTGCTCCCAGTCATACAATCAGTCTTAAATGGTAGAACCTCTGTTTTCAGCTACTTTATTATGTTGAGGAATGAAGAAACTTGGATGTATGTCCTGGCTTTGTTATTAACCCAGGGTGCCAAGACATAGAGAAATACTCAATATGCACTAGATGAGCAAATGTGAAAATCTGTATCCATAGCGTATTATATCATAAAAGCTACTGCATTATCTATTGCCATTTTAACACTTGGGCATCCTACTTGTAAAAGTTTGTAGTGCAGCATTAGAACACGCCTCTATTCTAAAACAGAATCTACTAAATCTTTAATTAAAAAAAAAAACACACAAAACCCAAAAAATCTTTACAGAGATATACAAAGTTTGTACAGAAGTCTATAACTTATGTATGTAAGCCTTACATATCTATATGAATCTACTAATATAACATAAGTCAATTCAACTCAATTACTAATTTCTACTCAGTTTTGTCAAAGGTTGTGAATATAAACAAAGATATCTAAACTGTGCATTATACTCTTGTTGGGCAGATATCAATATGACCACCTCACTCTCATTAATAAGGTGCAAAATAGCTAACGTTTATTATTTCTAGGTACTTTATGTGAGAATATGTACATTTTCACTAAGATTCACAAGATGGTTAGTATTTTCTTCCATTCTGAGAAGAGCACTTGGAGATACAACCCATGCAAGATCAGAGATAATTAATGAATGAAGTAGGATTTCAACCAAGAACTGACTCAAGAGCCATGGTTTTAAACTATTATGCAAGTGTTACAGGACAAAAAAAAAGGTAAGTATCAACCTGTGGTTAGTGTGTTTCCATATTTTTGTAGGTATTAACCTATTAAATTATTTTCTTGGTAACTTAAAAGAAAAAGACTATCTGATGAAATTAACAAACTTAAAAGAATGACATATATAACACAGTATTTGACATTACACATTTCTTGCCATCACCATAAATTCTCATTTAGTTAACTTTTTTAAAAATGGGAAAGTAGAAAACAAAAAGGGAAAAGAGTCTAGGCTGTTTTTAGAAACATTAGATATTAGAAGTCTAAAATTATTCCAGCAGTTATTATTATGCAAAAACATTAAGTTAAAAAAAAAAAAAGTCACCAAAATAAATACCAACCAATAAAGAATCTTACCTCTTTTTCCTTCTGAAGCCCCTGTGTTTCCTGTTTAAGGCTATCCATAACTTCTTTTAATTTGTCTTCTTCTTTCTCTTTTTCCTTCTCTAGAGCACTGTTTCGAGCTGTTGTTTCAGTTATGATCTTCTCACTCTTGGCAGGTATACTCTTAAATTCTTCAACCTAAGATGGTAAAATAAACTTATTGGAGCATATGCCTTTAGACTAATATCATCAATATTTGACTTATTTAAAACTATTTCTCAGGGTCCTCTAAGTCTTTGTGGTTTCCTCTGTAAATCAGACTTGAATTAGCTAGCTTTAGCAAATACTTTAACCATTTATTCCATTTCTGTGCTCTCAGTTTAATAGAAAAGCTAATTCTATGAATTCCTCATTTGTTAAGGAAGAAAATCCTCCCTAGCTGGCCATCAGGTCTTTCTTCCTTTGGCTCCATTTTCAGGCTGTAACTACCCTTTTTCACCAATTAATACACTCAGACTATATGGAATTCCCAGACTGTCCCTCACAAAATATTGCAATTTACCACAGACTACTTTTATACCCTTGGCCTCCCTGAAATCTTAAAATCTTTCATGATACCCTTCCAAAGTTACCATGTAGGACTAATACCTTATTCTATTAATACCTTTCGGTAATAACCATTTACTGACATATGATGACTAAAAGCTAATACTTCTCTAAGTTACAACTGGCTTAGTTGTAATTTAAGGGTTACTCTCAAATCCATGTTTTTGTTTATCCTGATTACCCAGTAGCAGTTCAGTATTTCCCAAAATGATAACCCTCAAACAGTGATTCACCCAAGAGTTATTCTCGTGCTGAGCATAAAATATTTTGTAAACAAATGTATTTGGAAAAATACAAATACAACTGATTATTAGGGACTCCTAGGAAACTGCTTCAAACTTCATTGTTTTTAAAGTCTTAGAACAGCTACTCAGCTCCTTGTAGATTTTGAGCTTTCCCTTCTCTTCTTTTCAAGACGGAACTCTTACTCTGATTTTCTCAAACTTGATTTTTGTTGGAGGCAGGTAATATTTTTAGAAGTCCAAAATATATAATAAAAACATCTCTTTAAACCGTTACCCTAAGAAAAAGAAAACTATTTTGTGATCAAATAGAACTGCTATTTTGGTAACTATTTCCCTAATAGTATATGCCACAGAAAAATAAGCTCTAAAACTCAAAGCCAATGAATGCTACGATTCTACTTTTAGAGAAAAAAAATCCTGAAACAGTTATTATTCAGAATCCCAACTCATTTTCTTAAAAATAAGGACTGGTACATTTATGAAAAATATTGAAAATCAGATCTGATAATCAGATTCTTTGAAAACCTACCTTTTCTTTGTCTTTCTGAAGTTGTTTCTCCAGTTTCTTGGCTTTACTTGAAGCATGTTTTAATTTTTCCTGAACTTGAACATCTTCCAAATCCAGCTGTGTAAATTTTTCTTTGTTTTCTTCAATAAATTTTGTTATTTTATTCAGTTTCCTAGCAAGGAAAGAGAATTAGGTCACTATTTTGGATATTCATTTAAAGCCATGTTATGCCCTGCTGGGACACTGCTACTGTAAACATGTCCAGACTCATACGAGGTGGAAGATTCTATAGCAATCCATTTTCAAACTGCACTTCCCACTAAATTTGAGGGAGCCATTAAGATGTGATTATGAGAGCTGATTTGCCCTTCTAAGCTAGATAGGAAATACATTTTCCAGTGACTATAATGTCAAGGTATAGAAAGAGTTAACCATAAACTTAAGTGAAGTTCATTTTAAAGGAAAAAAAAAAATCACATGGGTAAGAGATACTGGTGTTACCAAATACCGACAGAGAAAGATCATGATAAAACTTAAAAAAAAAAAAAATCTATCTACAGTAACCTAATTCTACCTCAACTAGATTAGTGGACTGTTTATTCTTCAGACAACAACGTGTCAGATGAAATGCTTGTTTTTGCTGTGATGGTTTGAGTTGTGTTCTGCCACTAGGGGGCAGCATCCTCTGCTATTTTAATACCAGTGTTGGACATTCAATTTGTAATAATCAATTGGATGCAGGGCAATTAAGTTTATTTTCTGTTTGGAAAAGGAAACCATTTTATATGCTGGCAAAAGCATTACACTTATGTGCTCGCAGTAAGATTATGTATGAACACACACTTAAGAATTCAACCCAAATACTTTTAACATTTTCCAAAAGATTATTACTTCTCTACATCTTTTACAGCTTTATTCTTAGCTTTCATTTCATTTGACAGTATACTGCTCTTCTCATTAATTTCTCTGGTATCTTCATGAATTTTTTCCTTTTGAGTTTCCATTTCAGCAATTCGCTTCTGCAGATCGTAACTAGAAAGAAAAAAAAAATCAGAGAACCTAAAATGCCATTTCTAAAATTGTGTACCTACTTCTGGTAAAACCAGTTGTTTTTAAAGTATTCTTTTTTTTTTTTTTTAAAGATTTTATTTGAAGGAGAAAGAGAGAAAAAAAAAAAAGAGCAGGTGGGAGGGGAAGACTCCCTACTGAGCAGGGAGCCTAACGTGGGCCTCCATCCCAGGACCCTGGGATCAGGACATGAGCTGAAGGCAGACACTTATCTGACTGAGTCACCCAAGCACCCTGTGTCTAAAGTATTCTTAGCTGCAGTCAATTTACCATTACTTAGGGCTAGGGGAGGGGGAGAGGCAGGGAGCACTGGAGGATAGACCTGAGGGTCAAAGCTAGAATTAAGGACAAAATACGTTCCCTATAGACACAATTAGGCTGGCTATTACATGATATATATTATATAATATTATATTATAATATATATAACATATTATATATATTATTATGAATTATAGAGAATACATATGTAGAATTATTAAGTATGTTAGCAAACAATGGTGAACCCATCTCCCAACTAAAAGTAGGATTCTTAAAAGTCAAGTTTGAGGACTTCAGGGAAAGGTAGGACAGTAGGAAGGTCCTAAGTTCACCTCATCCCAAGGATACAACAGGTAACACCCACATCAGTTTAAACCCAGAAAATGAAGACTGGCAGAACACTCTCCAGAGCTACATGTAAAGAGGCCAGCCACACTGAAAATGGTAGGAAAGGCGGAGACAGGCTTGGGACTACAGAGACCCAAAGCACTGTTCTTGGGAGGGAGGGGTGCCACGAGCATGAAAAAAGGGAGGGAAACAGACACATCAAGAATCCTAGGCATGGGGAAGAGGAATCCCTGTAACATTTGGCTTTGAAAACTAGGGGGGCCTAATTATGACAGTTCTGATAATCAGGGAAGAGGAATCCCTGTAACATTTGGCTTTGAAAACTAGGGGGGCCTAATTATGACAGTTCTGATAATCAGTGGGGTGTCACATCTTAACTTCAAATATCAGCAGGCAGAGAGGAGGGGTGAGAGGATACGGAAACCTGACCCTTAAAGAGACAGCACAAAAAGCCAGATGGAGATAGAGCATAGAAGCAGTGGTTTGAAAACTGGGGTTTATATGAAAGAAATTTATTTACTAATCTCAGAGCAAGTGCTGGAATGGAAGGGCAGACAGCTTTAGAAGACTCTTCCAGAAACAAAGGAGCTAGCAGGAGCCATTTCCTTCCTCTATCACTCAGCCTAGATACACGGATAGCTGCATGAATAAGTGCAATGCCAATACTCTCCACTTATCTTGCTAAGAGTTTGCACCCTCCCCCAATTCTCCTGAAATCCTGCCCCCTCTAATAAAATGCCCTTGGCCAGAGCCCACCCAAAGTGGTGCCATAAGCCTGGCAATGTGCAAGCAGCACAGACAGGAACCAGAACTGCTCCAAAGTGACACCTGCCCTGGGGAGAGGGGAAGACCGACTAAACCCCAGCAGTGGGCTGGGAGTAGACACCTGGTCTGGCTGCAGACCCTGCTTACCAATGGAAGCTTCTCAAGGGAAAACAGGGAAAGTGTCCTGTAGTTCGGCGCTATGCCTAGTCTGATTAAACTCAAGCTCCAAGTGGCCCCAGACTAGCTCACTAACAAGAGAGGGAACAAACTTGCCCAAAAGGCAGAGAGACTATTGCAGACAACACTGAAGGCAAATGTAGCTTAGCCACATCAGGGGGGCACATGCAACACACACATAACAGGTATTCTTGCAGTGGCAAGTTCTGGTGAACAGAAAACACTGCAATGCAGGGCACTATAGCACCTCTTCATGAAGCCACTACTTTCAAGAGCAGGAGACTGACTTTCCTAACACATAGAAAACCAGAGTTGGACAAAATGAGAAAACACAGAAATATGTCCCAAATGAAAGAACAGGACAAAAATAGCAAGAGACCTAACAAAATAGAGATAAGCAATATGCCTGATAGATAAAGTAATGGTCATAAAGATCCTAACTGGACTTCTGAGTGGAGGACCTCGTTGAGACACTCAACAAAGAAACAAAAAACATAGAAAACCACCAACCAGAGATCAACTCAACAACTCATATTAAAAATACACTAGAAGGAATAAATAGAACAGAAGAAAACAGAAGAATGGATCAGTGACCTGGAGGACAGGGTAATGGAAAACAATCAAGTTGAAAAGGAGAAAAAAATAAAAATGCGGAGCGGGAGCTCAGCTACACCATCAAGCGTAATAACATTCACATTACAGGGATCTCAGGAGAAGAAAGAAATGGGGGCAGAAATTTTATCTGAAGAAATAATGCTGAAAACTTCCCAAATATGGGGAAAGAAAGTAAAAAATAGAATCTCTATATGATTCAGTTATTCCACTACTAGAATTTATCCAAAGTATATGAAAACACTAATTTGAAAAGAAATAGGCACCCATATGTTTACTGCAGCATTTACAATAGCCAGACTATGAAAATAGCCCAAATGTCCATCAAAAGATGAACGGATAAAGAAGATGTGGTACGGGGGGGCGCCTGGGTGGCTCAGTGGTTAGAGCCTCTGCCTTCGGCTCAGGTCATGATCTCAGGGTCCTGGGATCGAGTCCCGCATTGGGCTCTCTGCTCGGGGGGGGGGGGGGGGGGAGGCCGCCCCCCCCCCTCCCTCCCCCCCTTCTTGCTCTCTCTAAAAAAAAAAAAAAAAAAAAAAAAAAAAAAAGAAGATGTGGTATGGGATGCCTGGGTGGTGCAGTTGGTTAAACGTCTGCCTTGGGCTCAGGTCATAAACCTAGGGTCCTGGGATTGAGACTGCACTGGGCTCCCTGTGGTGGAGGGGAAGGAAGGGGAAGTCTGTTTCTCCCTCCCTCTGCCCCCCTGCACATACTCTCTCTCAAACTCTTAAAAAAAAAAAAAAAAAAAGATGTGGTATATAAACACACCATAAGAAAAGAATGAAATCTTAACATTTGTAACATGGATGGATCTAGAGAGTATAATATTAAGTGAAATAAGTCAGAGAAAGACAAATACCATGATTTCACGGGTATGTGGAATTCAAAAAATAAAACAAAAGGAACAAAGAACGAAAGACAAACCAAGAAAAGAGATTCTTAACTACAGAGAACAAACTGATGGTTACCCAGAGGGAAGGTAGGTGACAGGATGAGCCAAAGAGGCTAAGGGGATTAAAAGCATACTTATGAGTACTAAATGTAAATTGTCGAATCACTACAGTGTATACCTGAAACTAATCTATAATAATATTAGAATTAAAATGAAATAAAAATAATCAACTTTAATAATATGGCAAAAGACCCTAATTTAATGAATTACATAAAAGTTCTTAGGATTTTTTTTTCTATCTTTTTCTCTATTATAGGAAAGACAGAGCTTAATGTTAGAAATAAGAACAGATAAATTAATGTACTTACATGTAATACTGACAGACATGGTTCTTTTTTCTAAATATTTCATTTTCCAAGGTAAGAAATTCAATGGCAATGTTTTTCTCTCCTTCTAAGGCATCCTTTTCCTTTTCCACCAGCTTAACTCTGTTTAACTATAAAAATTTAATGTGTACAGATTATTCAAGTATGCTTTATATGTATAGGTTCAGTTTCAAATATACCCACATTGGACAAAAACATCAACTATATTAATAAACACTAAATTTTAGATTTCTTATTGGCATTTAAATGAGCAATCTAAAACAGTAGATTTCTTCAATAATTCTAACTTTAGTATTTGACTCAACAAAATCTGTTCAATGAACAGTCTGATTTACAAGAACAGTCTACAGAAGACACACCTTCTCTCCTCTGTGTTCATTTAATATTTCAACTCGCCGACACAAGATTTTAATAGGCTCATTTAGCCGTCCACAACCAATGATATCTTCTAAGTATTCAAGCATACCCTCATCATGTTCAGTCTGGCCTTTTGGTTTCATCATAGCGATTTGTTCAACTTCACCCTTAAAAAAAAAATTGTATTACAAACTTATTGTGTATGTTTAGCCACATCATCTTAAGTGAGGTTCAGAAACAAACCCAACAGTAACCAACAACTAAATGATGTCAATCAATAGTTTAATGAGATTTAATAAGATATAAATAAAAATGTTTTCTCCACTGGTGTTAGGAGTTTTCACTTTCATAGGTGGTAATATATATTTGTACTCCCTTACACAAACTCTTGCAAAATTACAATAAACAGTCACATACACGTATTAGAGCCAAAGAAAGATTCCCTATCTAAAAAGTTCATTCAATAAAAAAATAAATAAAAGTATTAACTTTTCTATGAAGCAAAACTCAGTAAGAAATTCACATAACCTACAATTACTTTGGCAACATTATCAATTGTTAATAACATAATTAGAGCTCCTGTTCTGAAACAATGAATTTTTCAAAAAGATCCTTCATAGCGCAACTGTAGCAGGAATCCTGTCCCAAGATGGTACATTATTAAACTTTCTCTATAAACCTGGTGTTCTGAGTTCCTCAATAAGTGCTAGACTTTATAAGGACATCTCAAACTTAATGCCCTAACTTCCTAAAATCAACACCATTAAAGAAAAAAGAAAATTACCTACTTACTACAAGATACCCAAATGACCGAAAACTAAAGGTCATGGTACATATGAATTTGGAAAACTTAATTGCAATCATTAATATAACCACTTTAAAGTATGATTAAAATTCTTAAATTAGCATTATTTGTATTTATGTAATTTAATTACCAAGGAAAATGAAGAAAAATGCACAATCAGTAACCTTCAAGGCTGACTGCCAGGCAGCCATTTAGTTTCATGGTGAAGAAAATTTTGTCTAAACATGCTGAGGCAAAATGCTGCTGCTTTACTTCACAGTAATAGCCTGCTTGTGCTATTACAACAGAAGATGAGGCAAGTAGAAAAAATATATACTACAACTTTATTTCAGCAAAATAACAAGGGTGAAAAAAATCAAGAAGAAATACCCATAAAAAGCATACCACTTCCTCAATTTAAATATTCAAAGTATTTATGAATAAATCTCAAAAATCTGGGGTAAATCTTGCCAATGTAATGACAAAGTTGTATTTACTAAAAGCTCCCACATAAAAATAAGAAAAAAAAAGAAAAAACCCCAAAACAAAACAAAACAAAAACACAAAAAAGCAACTTGGGGTTGCTTCATCTGTAGAGCATGCCACTCTCAATCTCAGGGCTGTGAGTTCAAGCCCCATGTTGGGCATGGAGTCTACTTAAAAACAAAAAAACCAAACAACAAATACCAAACCCCTCCCCCAAACTTAAAACCAGTTCATTTTAAATCTAATCATTGAAAAACGGAACTTTTAACATTTTTGTACACTATAGTTTAACACAACAGAACATTATTATCAAACACAAAGTAAAATGTTATCCAGAGAGCTTGTTATTTTTTTTATTTCTCTGTAACCTTCAGTAATGTATAGTGTTTTAACTAAGTGTTTAAAGTATGTAGCTATTTATAAAAAACCCTTTTATTCTGCTTTCAATCATCAGGTCCTTCTATATGTTTGCAGTATTAGCTTTAAGTTTTAGGATTAAACCTGGAATAACATCCAAAGTTTGGGATTACAATAGGCAAACATCAGCCCTTGAAGAAGCAGAGAGTCTTTCTTATTCAAAGTTTTTAAGGAGACAGGTTTTATCAACAGCAACACTACTGACATTTTGGGCTGGATATTCTTTGTTGTGGGGAGTTTTGCTAGGCATTACAGGATGATTTGTAGTTATCTCTGACCTCTCTACACACTAGATGCCAGTAGCATACCGCCCCACCCTCAGCTGTAACAACCCACAGTGTCTCCAGACAATGCTCAATATCCCAGGGATAGGGATGTAAAACTACACCCAGCTGAGAATCACTAATTTGAGATAGTACTCTTTTTGGGTTTATAATACAAACAAAAAATATCTGACATCTGATAATCTAATATACTGCCTAATTCAATTTGAGTATCTGAACACCTGTTTTAAGATGACTGAAAAACTAGGCCAAGAGAACTTAAATCTTAGACAAAGGGGTATATGGTATTACTCGAGTAGCTACTTTTCGGATAGCCAGAAGTTAGGACTCAGTGTAGCAGTTTACATGGACAAAAAAATTCCTAAAGGCATTACACTTTTCCTGGCCAAAATTACTCAAGAGATGGAATAATGCTAGTAGGAGACTGCCTAACTTTGAGTAGAACATAGTGGTAGCTTCTTTTGGGTTACTTGTTCTTCCCTCCTCAGTTAAAATGATGGCTATATAGCTACGATTTTTTTATTCTAATAAGGCTGCAGTCTGTTGAAAATAAAAATGCTAAAGTTAAAACAAGGACATTTATGAATCAAAATAGTTCCATTACAAGTGCCACAAAACATTCAGTTTTAAAATTGTTACATGGCACTCTTTTTTTCCCAGCTAGTTATTATTAGATTAGTACTACTGACTCAACAGGCTACTAGAACATTTAGGCCTCTACCTGTCATTTGACTTATTAGAACTACTGTGCTACTCCAGTGACAACCTGGGACCTTTCTTATGGCTTTGTTCCTTGATGTCCTTTGCCTGCCTTACCACTTGCTACTATTTGCTTTCTTCTTTTTCCATTTTACATCATTTCATATATACTGTGAGTTCACAATCTGTGCCTGGAAAACCATTCCCCACCCCCACAGCTGAAAACATACCTATCCTATGTGAAATTATACAATACAGTTTTAACTTAGGGCATAAGTTATATGCCCATACATTTCAGAAATGATTTTAAAGCATCAACCTAAATTTAAAGTCACCCATCCATATCAAGGCCCTAACTCACAAATAATGACAGCATGAAAACATAAAAAAATTTCAAGTTGCTCTCATATTAGCATCTGAAGCCAGACAAGTCCTACAGGCCTCCAGGTATCTCTAGCTTCTATACCTTCAGTAGACGGAGTAAGATTTCAAGATTTTTTTTTTTCTGTTCTTTACTACAAACTTTATTTAAATTATATCAGAGACATTAAGCAACTATGTAAAATACCAACTATGGTTTTTAAGAATAACACAGAAATTGCAAACATATTTCAAAAAAATACTTATAATAACCAAGGGCTTAAACCTTAACTCACTAAAGTAGGTGGCAAATCAGGATATTGTGATTCAGTTGCACCATTTTTGATAATCTATTTTATAGAAATACAGTTTAAAAATCTAAGAAATAGTTATGATGCTCTTTATTCTTAATTCATATAGAATCCAAATTTTAGCAAGTATGAACCACAAGAAACTCAAGTCCAGAGCTATATTAAAACTTTTTTTTCCTAAAAAGGCTTGAAGGATTCTTATGATAAATATGGGTGTTTGCATCAAAATTAAATGGCCCCGATTTACTGGGCTCTAAAATTTTTAAAGATTTTGAGAGATCACAAGCGCCCACACACTGGAGCACAGGGAAGAGGCACAGGGGGAGGGAGAGGGACAAGCACAATCCCTGATGAGCACAGAGCTAGATGCAAGGCTGAAGCTCTCCATCTTGAGATCATGACCTGAGGAGAAACCAAGAGTGAAACGCTCAACCAACTGAGCCACCCAGACACTCCTGGGCTTTGAATTTTTATATTGTCTTGATAACCTTTTTATTTTCTCTACTTTCCCCTGTACCATAAATTATTGTCCTTTATATTCTGCTAGTAAATTTTTATTCTAATTTGCTCTTTGTCAGCGTCAGAGGACAACAGACCAAATCACCGAGGTTAGTATCGGCCTAAAATACATACATAAATAGAAAGGATAATGCTTTAGTAGGTAGACAGCTTGATGTCTATTCTGGATGCTTAGGAGTAGCTTCTTTCACAGCTGAGGCTGTTGAATCAGATACTTTTGGGTAACTGATAAAGCTAAAAAACTCTTTTGAAATAGCACAGACTAATTTCTACAGCTAAGACTATAACCAAAATAGTTTGTATGACATGCCAGGCTTGGGAAAAATAAACTGGAAAGAAAAAGGAACAAGAGATAAACTGGATTAACAAAGGTCTGAGTTACCGATTTCCAAATTACTACACAATAAGAAAAAAATCTTGGTTCTTATTTAAAGTTCTAACTCAGATTTTATAATAATGAAGACAAGTATAGGAAATTGAAAACTTTGACAAAACTAAAATTGCCTTAATATTTGTAGCTTTTAGGAGTTTACAAAACTGTTCCTGAGACAGCAATCATTAATGTAACTTTGAACTGCCATAAAAGCATTAAGGTTACCATTCTTTTAACTTTGGAACAAATGTTCTAAAACCAATTGAATCTCATTTGTAAGTCATAGTTACCACGAAATGCTATGGAGACCTAACAAAACCCTACTTATTTGCACCAAATAACCAAATAACCAAACAGTTATTACAACGGGACAAAGGCTTTGAAATTAAGGTAAATATAAATGGGGACATGTACAAACATAAGAAGTATAATGGCCAATTATAATCTAACACTTCTTGAAGGCATGTGTGCATCCAAGGACAAGAAACAGGGCTTACCCATTTCTGTATCTTTTATATCATTTTCGTACATAGCCTCATCATGTACTCATTTGAATCAACTGATGCAATTTAAAATGGATTCAAATACTAGAAATGCCTACTTCAAAAAACTACTAAATCAATATAAACACTGCAAAAACAATCTTTTTTTTACTGTTATGGACTTCTAAAATTTAATGATGTTTAATCTTAAAAACCAATATTCACTTTACCTAATTCAGATTACTTAGCACGATCACTGGCCAGTCTATATGTTTTATTCAAACTAAGCACTTATGTTTTGATATTATGCTGTCTCCAAGTTCCCAGCCTCCCAAATCACATTAAAAGAAATCTTCAATGGGAGAGAAGATAATTAAAAAAGCCATAGTTTTTACTTACCTTCAACTGCTTTAAAGTTAGTGCAGGAGTCTAAACTTTTGAAAAGGAATTAAACATCCACAGAAACCACTGTCACTCTCCCTCAAACTTTTAAATAGGGCATCATTAGTTCTACCTAGTCCAATCTCTATTTCTTCTTCCTAACAAGTGAATTCCTAAGGTTCCTACCTGTCAACTTAATCAAATGGAAAATCATTTAGGAAGTTTACCTTGATATTAAAAATGTTTTAAATAATTTGTTAAAAGGACACAAAAAGGTTGTGTTTATAGGAGGACAAATGGCATAAGCTTAGGTACTTCAAAAGTACATGTTTAACGAAATTGACAGTTAAAAAATTACTGTTATTTACTTCTTTGGGAAGTTATGACTTTATTTAGCTTCCTTTATTATGGAATTATATAGAGAGGACGCACCAAAGGAAAAAAAATTACCCTTACAGGGGTTAAAATGCAGTCCACTTTATTTTGAGGAATCTTGGCACAGATGTAAAATTTTAACCAATTATCCCAGGATGACAGTAAACAGAAAATAATAAACAAAAAATAAACACGAGAATAGATTCCTACAAAATGCTATTATAAAATATAGTATTATAGAGTGAAATAACTTATAATTCATAATTAACCAAACCAAATCCTAGAATATGAAAGTCCATATAACAGTTAAATTTGATTAAAGACACACATACATACACAAATACACACAGCTTTATTTTCATATTTATGTAAATACGAATTCTGTTAAGAAATATATCTGCAGCTGATTTCCCCCAATATTCATTTTTAAATAAGTCTGGGTTACAGAAGTATTACAAATGTACCATGCCTGGTAACAAAAGATAGTAACAGAAGTCATTCTAGAACAATGGGAACTGACTGAGAACACTCAGGCATCCTAATGAAACTTTCAGTACCAAATCAAAATTCCCAACTTAGTTTAAAATCAGTAGCATAAGACATTAAAGAATACCAGCAGCTATTTTACATCATAATATAGTTTTGTTTTAATAATTATGCTCTTGGGAGGGTCTGGATAGAACACAGGAAAAAAAAGGAGCTTCAAATCAAAAAGGAATTAATATATCTGACAAAGCCATGTTTTACACTAATAACTTTCTGAAGGTAAGACAAAAGAAATTAGGTATTTTTCTTACCAAGCAAGGCTAGTAAAACATATCTTTACTCAGAGAACACAAGGTTTCTAATAAAATTCAACTTAACACCAGGCATTAGTTTTATACCCCTCTAAAAAGACTTTTAAGAGTTATGATACTTCAGAATGACATAGGAGTTATTTTCTTGTCTTCCAATATATAGTAGTTCAAGTAGGCCACTCTAACCAAAACAAAAACCAGCTTGGTCAGCTTTTAGTTAACCATGCCAAGGTTAAAAAAAATAATAATAATAAAAAAAATTAGTAAGGCACTGAAGTAAAATCGTCAAACACCAAGTGTACAGAGTTCATTTTTGTGCTATTTAAAATTAGTACAGATAAGAATAAGAACAAAAGTAAAGGACTATTAAAAGATAATGAATCTCATTTAAAATATTGTCTTAAAGGAAAATACAAACAATAACAATAAATAGCTGTTATATCCCTGTCACGCTAAAGCAGCACAATAATATTGGTGTTTAATATTTATTTCACTACGCCAATATTTACGTGCTGCTAGAGCGGAACAAGTATGTCAGTCCATCCAAACATAAAACAAGCATCTTATGGTGAAAATAGTTTTGAATGAATTTCCTTAAATTTCTAGAGCAGCAAATAATGATTCGCATCTTGACTGTAGTATGTAAACCATGATGTGCTGCTACAGTACTTTAAGGCCTCAATAATACAGGATTCATCCAACAGGGGGACACCCCTCTAAACTTTATTGAGGGAAAAAAAAAAAAAAGAAAGAAACAAAGAAAGAAAAAGAAGAGACTCTCTTAAGTCTTTAATAAACTTACCTGCAAGATTAAAAATCTATTATGGTCCAGGTCAATTCCATGGCTTCGAAGAAGATTTCCAACATCCTTAAACGTTGTCTTTTTCCCACTTATGTGATAGACAGAAGTATTATCTCTGTAGGCAGTTCTGGATACATAGAAGTTACTGTTAGGAATGACTTCATAATCATCCCCTTCCTGTTTTGCATAAAAACAAAACCAGAAAACAATTGTTGGTATTAAGTCACAGGTCTGCACCAAATTTCATTCTCTTCATATTCAAACCAATTCTATGGATTAAAAACTTCAACATGCATATAAACTGGCAATAGTTCTAAGACATAACCCTCTGAGCAAAGAATAGTCTCCAAGTTTTGATCTCTTACTCGTAGATCACAAAAAGCAAAAAGCCAAACAAACAGAAATAAAACAAAAAACCCACCTCCAAACAAGTCAAAATATATTTGACTGAGAAAAAGAGCATTTGAAGTGGGACAAGAATCTCACCATATCTGAAACAAACTCACCTAAATTATCAAGCCATGTTGATAGATTAAATTACTAGTCCCATTTTTAAAAAGCTGCAAGAAATGATCCAAGGAAAGGAAGGTAATAATGGCATAACATGGCTTAATCCCCCTGCTTTTTGGTAAACAATATTCTATTAATGAAAGGTATAAAGAACTGCAAAGAATTCACTACATTCCCCCAATTTCTAGGAAAATCAAACAAATTTTAAAAAATGAAGTATAAATCTACTTTAATATTAAAAAGTTGCTTTCCCTTAAAAGCTTTCCCATTCTGAAATTATGGCTTTTAAAATTTACACAAATCAAACATAATTATAATAAGCAAAGAAATCAAACCTGATTTACTGGCAATCATTTTCTAACCTAAATTGTACAAAAGAAAAGCACTAAGAAACAAAATAGATGGCATCATGGCATAAAATAATAAATTTTATTAAAGTCCGTTATATTAAAAAAAAAAATCTAAAAAACAAAACTTAGAAGCCAAGTCACATCCTCGCTTCACTATGAAGTTTTCTATATTTTTAGGTTCCAACCGGTCAGTTTTAAGCCATGAATTTCCAACGTTAGCTATTCAACAGACAAAAAAACCCCCGAGTACTAGCAGAACCATGTAAATAAGCTAAATATTTTACCTAAAATTGTTTTTCTAGGAAACATATTAAGTTTGCCTTTTCCCTGTTTTAAAAGGGTGGTTTTATTTACAAAGGATAGTTTAAACTGAAGCAGAGTTTTTTCATATTACAGACAACTAATAACATTAATGTGAATTAAAATAATGGAGATGGTAAAATTAGGCATCTGTAACATTTTCAAATTTAAGAAATTTATCTGAAATCAATAAAAACAACTTTAAAAACGAACCAAAAATTTATAGTGAAAGAATGCCTCGATGGCACTCAGGATTATACTCATTGTTTTATTCTAAAAAGGTAAGTACTACAATGAGCTACTTATAATTCATTCCCCTGGCTAAAAGTTTTAATATTTTAAGTGTAACAGCTGCCACCACCACTACTCAAAAAGAAAATATGGTCTGAAGGTAATGAAATCAGATCTGGGGGGTAATAAAATAATTATCTGTTCTGCTTTAAACATACTCTGATTTTTAAAAAGCCAATTTAAGCCAAAAATAATAAATGTACAATGTATGGAAATCTTATGTTCCGTACTTGAAACTGCAAATAACTAAATACTCCAAAGTCCCTTACCTTATCAATTATCTTCTGAAAATGAACCTCTACAGTACAACTCTGAATGTCCTTGTGTTCATCGGAATTGTGTATTAGTACTGAAAGTTTTTTAGATCTTATTTTTTGTGCTCTATAGCCAAACACAAAAAGCATAGAATCAATAACATTGGATTTGCCACTGCCATTTGGCCCAATAATACAGGAAAAGCGCTGCATAAAAAGAACAGAAAAAAAATTACAGTTAAAAAGGTCATACCATACAACTGATTTTAATTTAAACTGCTTGCCTTTTTTACTTGCAGCAAAACTTAAGTATTTAAAAGGTTTCATTTCAACTTGTTTTCTTACATCATGTTCTCCTTTATCACAAGCTTCAACACTTTTAATAAGACCATATTCTCATTCTAACTCACTTTTTACAAAATTCATTCTAATAGAGAAAATACTTCCTTCAAACAAAAAACTCACCAATTCTATTCTGTGAGGGGAAACTTAACAGCTAAAGTCGTACCAAAGATAACCAGCATAAACAAAAATTATTTTCAGTTGTTAAAAACACAGGAAACATACCATGTGTTATCAATCAGGATGAACATGATAAAATTGATTTATCTTGTAATAAAAACACATGACCCTATAATAGTTACTTAAAACAGTCAAATACCTTATGAAAAGGTCCCAGAATTTTTTCCCCAGCATAGGATTTGAAGTTCTGGTTTACAATATGAGTTATCATAAGCCGAGGAGCTCCAGCTTCATTGGCCATTGCTGGAGGCGGGGGAGGAGGGATGCTATTCAAAATTTCTTCTAAACTTCTATTATCAATTTCCTCACTTGGTGTCTCTAGGTCAGTCAAAGGAAAGGGAAAGCAAGGGGGGAAAAGCCTATATTAGTGCAATTAGTTCGGAGAACTACTGCTTGCTAATTTTTGGAGAAATGTTATTTATGAAACCTAGGAATCTGTATTTTCCACTTCAATGTATTATCCTAAATTCAGGAGAAATGAAAATCTTTCAGCTTGGTTTTATAAAGAAAGAAATTCTTAAAAGAAATAACCATCAGAAATAACCTACAAAAATACATCTCTTAGAAGTCAAAATGCTACAACATAAAGCAGGTCTGGGAAAACCAGAACAACGTTATTCTCTGCTCCTCACCTAAACAGGTGGTTAAATCCTAAGGCTCTATTCCCCTTATCTCTGAGTACCGGGAACCTTAACTCTGCATACTCAAGAGCTCCAGCGACCCTGTCACAGGGGCTTTCTAATGTCACCCAATTCCCGTACTCACAAAAGCTACAGTAGTTTCGAGTAAATTATTATCTCTTTAAACGCAATTTAAGACCAGGGAAGTTAAGTTATGGCCAAGGAACTTTTAAGATGCAATCATGTTAATTCTGTCCTAAAAAAACTGTATACTAGCTATTGGCTTACCATACCGACTTCCGTGGAAATACAAGGCCACAAATTCATAACTGTAGCCACGTACTTGCCCCAATCCCCTCCAGCACCGTTATATCGAAATTGCACGAAGACTCTGATCTCTGAAAATTGCCAAATCGCTTTCTTGAGCTGCTCTATGGGACCGACACGCGACCTACAAACATCAACTCCGCAGCCTCTCACCTCCGCGCCTCCAAACACCAGTCAGTCCCGGGTTAGGCGCGGACCCACTCTGGTCTCCCAGCACGTTTTCCGAGGGAGTCGCGGTGGGGGTACTCACCTGCGGTAGCAGGGGCCGGGCTGCCCGCGCGGCCGGGCGGGGGTTCCGGCTCCGCGTCGCTGCTGGTGCCGTCCGGGGACTGAGGCGGCTCTTCCCTTCTGCGCCGGGCGGTGGAAGGTTGGGTGCCTTTGCGGGGCATGGTCGCTGGGGCCGGGGGAGAGCCAGGGGCTAGTCAGCCCGCCAAGCCGCAGGACAGTACCGGTACATTCCCCGCTGGAGCCGGCGTCGGATGGGTTCAGCCCCCACCCCGTCCCACTTGGGGGAAAAACTCTGCCCGTTTCCGAGAGCCCAGTTTAAAATACGCCGCTCGACGCCAGCGGGTGCTCGGTAAAGAAGGCACGAAAAACCCAAGTGCCCAAAAGGCGGGATTCGTTTTAAGTCCGAAGCGAGTGGGAAAACCTAGACGTGCCTGGTTGTCAAGCAAGGATAGAACTGCCTAAATTCTTTTTATTTTCTTAATGCCTCCTACCCCCGTCCCCCCACAGGTGTAAGAATCTTCTCCTTTAACTTTCTAACGAAATAATTCCTGTACGCGGGCATTTACTGACATTCCCACGCTGCGGGGGTTAGAGAAGCAAGCTCACAGACTCTGCGAGAAGAGTTCTACTAGCTTCAGGTTCGGGGGGACGATCAACTCTTCCTAGAGTAGCTAATAAGACTAACGGGCGACTCGCCGTCTACTTTCCCCGCCATTTAGCTCTCGGCGCCGTTGACGGCCCGGGGCTTCCAGGTCTCCTCAACACCGTCCGACCCGGAAAGGCGGCAGGAGACTGGGGTCGAGACTTATTTGTCTCGACTTCCAAATCAGACATATGCAGCGCCTGCTCCAGCTCAGTCATCTTGGGGTGGCGGGGTCTGAACCTCCGGGGCCCATTGCGGAATCTCGTTGGACAATAAACTACAAAAGGTCACCACTAAGGGTTCAGACCCGGTGATTAGTCCCTTGAGAGAAGAGAGAAGGTCAGGGGGCCGGGGCAGGGGAGACGCCCTTTCCCCGACAGAGACCAGGATTTCTGAGAAAAGATCCGTGAGGCTTAGAGTCTGCGTCCCCCGCACCCCCGCCGAGAGACGCTTAAGTAGCTCAGAGAAGTGGCGCCCGCGAGAAGCGCGCGGGAGTCCCGACTGCCGGGAGGCGGCCGAGGGGGGAGGGGTGACAGCGAAAGAAATCTCCCGGCGGCAGCCTCAGCCCAGAGCGGACTTCGGCTGCTCCAGCTCAAGGCCTCTACTTTCCAGGCGCCCGCAGACGGGGCAGGAAGTAAGAGTGTGACAACCTGATCAGGAAAAGAAGTACTTTACCTGCGGGGTAATCCACGCACACGGAAGCTGAAAACCGTTGTATAGCACCCCCGCTTCTACCGGTGTTTCGGCTCCGGGTCCTTCACTCGAAAATGGCGCCTAAAATACAAACTCGAACGGAAATTCGTTACAAATGCGCGCAATGCTTTCTGGGAACCACTAATTTGAAAAAAATGCGGCGATTACCACCGCCATCTTCTGGTCGCTTACACGCATGCGCGAACTCCTGGCGGGACCCTTGTGCCAGGGCACTTTTATAAGTTAAAAGGTAGAGCGAAACACTGTTTTGTCTGAGTCCTACGGCAGCAGTATTTTTATAAAAATATTTTTCTAAAAACACCAATCTGGAGAGTGGTGAACGAGAGGGAAAAAAACCAGTAGGGCTCCACCCACCGCTGGAGGAGGACTCAGTCGTCCACTAACGTCCCTTAAGAAGAGGGCGGGATCGGGTGACCCGCGATGGGGAAGTATCGCGAGAAGAAGGAGTGTGCGTAGTTAGTAGAAGTCACTATGGTGACGGGGAGGTCGGGAGGCTTCTTGGTAACTGGTCCTAGCTTTGTGGGAGCAATCGCCACTGCTTTCCTGGAACTTAAGGTAAATCTCTTCACCTCTGGATGTGGTGAGGAAGGGGTTTGGAAATTGTGGCCATCAATGGACCCCACCTTACCTCCCTTAATAGTATATGTGACATAGAGCATCAGTTATTTTTCCATCTCCGTGGAGGCGGTGGGGTTCCGGACGTAGCTTTCGGGACGCGAAGCAGGAAGCCCTGAGTTTGGAAGGAGTAGAAAGACAAAAACAACAAAAATCCTGAATTGGTGAATGATTGTATGTTCTATATGTGATTAGCAAAATAATTTCGAATTCATTGGTGTTAGGTCGTTAGTGTCACTAGTGAAAGGGGATTTCGGGTTTTTGAAATCATTTGATTGAAAGATTCCGTAACGGAAAAAATGATTTGTTGATGTCATCTGGTTATCTTCATGAGAAAATTATCGATCGGAAAATATTTCTTAAGTAACTCTTGAATACGTTGCACTGTGCAAGGCATAATCAGGATTATTAAGCAAGTATTCCTGTTCCAAGAGAACTTAGTTTTGTTAGTCGATTTTTAACCTGTAGTCTGTGATCCTGTTAGTAAGGTGATTGAGATTCAGTGGAATTCCTAATTAACCCTTCCTTTCCCCGTCCCCCCACCCCTTCCGCTGCTGAAACTGTAAACAGAATTCTGTGTGTTTGTGCTTTTTTTCTGGGGAGTTGGTTTTCCCAGAACTTTGATTACTTTCTCAAATGTGGTCCTAATCTCCTATTATGTTAACCACTGGTTGATTTGACTACCTCCAATAAGTATTTATTCAGCGACACTTAGTTGACTATGAGAACTGGGAGCCTTCCTTTCCCCTTTAACCTTTGCATACCTAGGGCCGGTCACAGTAAAGCTCCCATAAATCTGCTTTATAAATGAATTTATGTTACCATTCTAAGTAAGTAGTGTGAGTCTTGCCCCAGGAGCATAAAGTCAGGTTCAGTGATTCTCAAGTGGGGTGTGGAGGACACCCCTTGCGAACTGTTAAGAATTTGGTGAGGTTCAGAAACTGGTGTGGTTAGCAGGATCATTGACTCGGTACTAGAATACACATTTATTTATTTATTTTTATTTTTAATTTATTTTTTATCTTTTTAAAAAATATTTTTATTTGTCAGAGAGAGCACAAGCAGTGGGAACTGCAGGTAGAGGGAGAAGCAGGTTTCCCGCTGAACAAGAAGCCAGATGCCAGACTCAATCCCAGGACTCTGAGATCACGACCTGGGCCTGAGCCCAGGCAGACACTTAACCGACCGAGCCACCCACGTGCCCCTATTTATTATTATATTTACTTACTATATTTACTTAACATATAGTGTATTATTAGTTTCAGGGGCAGAATCTAGTGATTCATCTGTTTCATATAACACCCAGTGCTTATTACAATCAGGTACCCTCCTTAATGCCCATCACCCAATAGTATACCTTTATTTTTTAAGTTGAAAAAATTATTGTTTTCATAAGACAAATTACAGACAGTAAAACTCAATGAAAAAAATTTTTTGGCTGGTAGGCATATCAAGAAAATGTAGTGATTCTGTTTGAAAGCTTCTGGAGTCTTGAATTTTCAAAGTTTATAAAACACTACAAAACCTGAGTCAGAGAGATATCAATCGTGAAAAAAGCAAAGACTAGACCAAACTGAGTGATGTAAAAGAGTCATGGAGATGGTGTAGTAAAAAGATGTACCATAAGAAAATCCCAAGTCCCATCATTTTTTTAGCTACGTGCCTGGACAGTTTACTCACTTTATCAATCTCTCTGAGAATATTTATTATAAAAATCAGTATATAATGTCTGCCTCATGGGATTATTTATAATTGTCTAGCACACATGTGAAGCATTTGATATTACTGTGTTTATGACATTGACCTTATTAGGGCATATGCTAAGGATGAATAATGGGATGTCAAGTTAGAAAATCAGCTTATGAAGGGTCTTGAAAGCCAGATTGAGCATGTTAGATATGATGTAGAGGAAACACTTATTAGAAAAATTTTGAGCTAAGGAATGGCTTGGTTAAAAAAGAAAAAAAGTAACAGTAGTTAAGTGGGATGTGTTAAAGAGGAGAAAGACTTACATGAGGCATGGCTGTATTGAATTATTAGTATACAGTCTTCCATGTGGAGGGAGAAATGCCTACACAGTAGAATGGAAAAAAATCCAGGAACATTTGGGGGGAAAAATCTATAGCTTCTGAAGATTTTAAGGTTTAAAAGTCGAAACACCTAAAGTTAGTCGGATAATATTCTTTGTTGGTGAATCCCGAACTAGTGATGAGGAGAAAAAAAGAAAAACAAGTTATGGATAATTCCTAGTTTTACTGCCTTTGATGATTGCTATAAACAGCAGTAGGTCTTAATGACAGATGAGAAAGAAATGCAATTTCAATAAATCAATTAAGTAACCTGTTGATTTAGATTTAGTTCAACCTAACCATGCTCTACTCAGAAGAAATATTTTCAAAATAGCTTAAACCAGGTTGTATAATGTAGAAAAGATATTTATAACAAACAGCTACAGAGTAGACCTAAATCTAAAGTGAAAGTAGGACGCTTAGAATAAGTGAAGTGATTTGAGAAGAGATTAGAATCACAAGAAAAAGTCTTGATTGATCCCTTCCAATATTTTGGATACTACTCATGAAAATAACAGAGTTTAGTTATAAAAAGAATCTGGTCAGATTGGGATGGACTAACTTAACAGTCATTTGGTAAAGTATAATCAAGTCTCCTCTTTCTGATCCAAAATCATCTAACAACTGTTATGTGTAATTTCAGGCAGTCAGAAAAGAACCCTCACTTTTTACTTTTTAAAAGTGAAATTGTACCACATAGGAAGAAATAAAAATAAATTTAAAAAGAATAGTAGAGTTAGAATTCAAATCCACATTTGCAATTCTTTAAGTGCATACTTAAGTTTTGTCATCATCATAATATATTTTTTTTATCTGTCTTCTAATGAGTTTCAGCATTTCATAAAGTCTGATATTAGATTTGTGGATAAATGTTTAAAAATATGACTCAAGTTTTTAGTTAATTGTGAGTATTTGGATTAATTGGATATTAACTAATAAATAAATAAATATGAATTTATATAAGTAATGAATAAATACTTAGAGAACATTGTTCAAAATTGATAAATTGTTTGGGGTGCCAACCCTAGGAGTCATGACCTGAGACAATGGCAGCTGCTTAACCACTGAGCCACTCAGGTGCTCCCATCTCATTTTCTAGATCATTGCACAGCACTCTGGCATATTGTTGAATATTATTATTTTTTATGCTAGTTGATGAATTAAAAGGATGAATTAAAGACGACTACGTATTTGAGATTTTCTGGCTAGAATTTATTAGGCCATACTGTAAAAGGATTATAAATACAGCAATATAAACAATTATAAAAGGCTGGCTCAGTTGGTGGAACATGTAACACTTGATCTCACGTTGTGGGTTCGAGCCCCACACTGGGTGTAGAAATTACTTAAAAATAAAATCTTACAAAAAAGATTAATAAATTGGCTGTAGAACAGGACAGATAGTAA